ATCCCATATCTGCATTTCCCATAAATATGCAAACTTCCTCTTGATATGCAAATTATTTTGTCAAGGCGCTCTTCCCCCTCCAACCCAGCTTAAATATTCGCTGCCAAGCCTGGTGGTGTTTCATTCAGACGCTGTCTTCCCGACAGACCTGTTCTTCACCTGAGGACGGCTGCTTGCGTTGTGGCCGAAACGTCGTGAGAATGATTTTATTATGTTTTATTTTTATTATTTTATTATTTCCATTCTACGTGACTTTACCGAAAGAACCAAGAAGATGGTGAGTAACTGTTTGTCACTCATTTCCCAACGTCTTGTCTCTTCTCACAATTAAAGTTCCTAGAATCAACCCACCCCCAGGTACGGGTAGGGTACGGGTACGGCCGGGTACGGGTACCCGTTTGCGACCTTGGTGCGGCCGGGTACGGGTAACGAATCAAAACCCGTTTGCGACCTGTGGTCGTTGGTCGGCATCTGTGCACGACTCAGAGGAGATTGGATCGGGGTTAAGCTGGGTGAGGCGCTCCACCTGCTGGCGATGTGCAATTGTACAAGGGGTCACCGCCCATTGCATTTACCTGCACCAGGGGTGGGTGGGGTGGCACCGTGAAAAACCACTCTTCATTCCAGTGACGCTCGCTGGTTGAGAAACAGACTCCCTCCCCCCAAACTCCGGAAAGAGGCCGTCCATAAATGACGTCACGCACCTTGGAGGGGGGGGGTCAGACATTTGTGACGATGTGTGACGAGGGGGGGGGGTCTTCTTGGTTCTGTCGGTAAAGTCACGTAGAAGGGAAATAATAAAATAATAAAAATAAAACATAATAAAATAATTCTCACGACAGACATGTTCTTCACCTGAGGGCGGCTGCTTGCGTTGTGGCCGAAACGTCGTGAGAATTATTTTATTATGTTTTATTTTTATTATTTTATTATTTCCCTTCTACGTGACTTTACCGAAAGAACCAAGAAGATGAATCCCTGCAGTCACGAAAGCTTTAAATCGAGGGGGGGGGGTTGAGAAATGTGACGTCACATAAAAATGCGCAACTTTGAATAAACATAAACAACACGTTCTACTTCATTAGATAGACTTAATAAATGTTTTCTCCTACAACATCAGAGCGCAGCGCCGCATTAAATACGCACTACAATGGCAATAGTTTAAAGCGATTTGAGGCCTGTTTTATTTTCGGGGGGGGGGGGGGGCAGAGCTTTGTGACGTCATATTTGAGGGGGGGGGGCTGACTTTTTGTGACGCCGTGTGGCGAGGGGGGGGGGTTGTCAAAAATCGTCCAAAATCGTCCAAAATCGCGTGACGTCATTTATGGACGGCCCCAATAACCCGTGAACCAACGCCCCTCGTGGAAATATTGGTGTCGTTCGCCGGACGGCACCGGCTGCAATGTTAAACAACCTCAGTCACGAACCGAAGTGGATGGAACAGGAGGAATTCTCGGCTGTTGATACTCCGACTGATGCTCCTGCTGTTGTGGAGTGACTCATGCAGCCAGCTATGGCTGCAGAGTTTGGAAGTAAATGTTGTTTACGTCGTTTATTGAGAAAATTCGGTCACAGTTCCTATGATCACTGTTTCATTGCTTTCATGGCTTTATTTTGGTCATTTTCGAAAAGTTTTTTGGTTTGGCCATGTTTGTTTGTTGTAGTACAGAGTTAGACTGATGGCCTTAATCTAAGTTGTCTTGTGGTTGTTGTTGTTTGACTTGCATCCCACTGGGATTTTTGCACACAGCGTTGGTGTACGGTGCTTTTTCTGCAATATTTTGCTGCCTTTTCTTGGATTTTCTATTTGCACTTAGTCACTTTAAGATGTTTTCTTGTTCATGTTTTTGTTTTTTGTTTGTTGCGGTTGCACCCGATTCAAGAGCCGAATGGCTCACAGGGCTACACCTAATAAATGAACTTGAACTTGAACCTTTCGCGACCAATCCCGTCCAGCAATAAACGACTGAAGCGGGGCAATCACGGCGCAAACTTTTTCTGAATTATAAGGAAGCAGAGGTCGCAACCGGGTACCCGATACCCGTACCCTACCCGATACCCGGCTAGCCGTACCCGTTTGCGACCCTGGTGCGGCCGGGTACGGGTAGGCCGTGAGTCACTGGTGAGTAACCGTTTGTCACTCATTTCGGGTATGGTACGGGTACGGGTAGGGAACGGGTACCCTTACCCGGCCGGGTACGGGTACCCATTTGCGACCCTGGTGCGGCCGGGTACAGGTACGGGTAAGGAATCAAAACCCGTTTGCGACCTCTAAGGATGGCAGAAGGAGTGTCGCGAGGAAGTTGGGTGTTGGACTGTGAAGGTTTAATTGTGTAGGGGTGTCAAGAGAAGGATTCCCATCAATAGGAGGGTTAGTGGGAGGCGGTAATCGAGGAGATACAAGGGGAGAACGGGCGGGAACAAGGGGCCTTTGGCCGGAACGAAATTGGGACGGCTGGGGACAGGTGTGGATGGGAGAAAAGGTTTAAAGGACGAACCCCCTGCAACCTTGTGTCGGCTCTCCTTTACAATTGTACCTCAGGCCAGGGACGTGCGGTCAGGGGAGGCAGGGGAGGCAGAGCCTCTACTGTCATACTCAAATGAAAATAGCTGTTACAAAAAACAAAGATTTTTTCCACTGATCTGTGTTATAAATGTTATTTCTGTACGATTCCAATCATTTTTAGAGTCAAAATCGCGAAATTTGCGGAGCCCCGCTGCAAATACAGAGAGAGACGAGAGGTGAGGCAGCGACGAGCTCAGCCTCCCCTCTGATTGCGCAACCCCTCAGTAACTGGATGGAGCGCGGGCAATAAGCGCGTGCCTGTGACTATTACAGTATGTCACCAATGTAATGTTTGTAAACCCCTTCATTTCATGTCCTCACCTTCCATACTCCAGGTAACTTATTTCACGTATACGTGTATAAAGAGATTTAGGCTCGCTGGTCTCGTCATGAAACTGCAATGAAAAAGCACCAGGGGAGGCAGCTATCACATCTGCCTCACCGAGGGGGACGTGTCTAACACGCCCCCCTCAGTGAGGACACGCCCCCCTCCGTGAAGCCACGCCCCCCCTCAGTGTGTGAATCTGGCTCTGACACGAGCCAGTGCCTCCCCAGCCATTGACCTCACCGCACGTCAATGCCTCAGGTCGATCTTATATTGTTATGATAATTGTTTTTACCCTTTTATCTGGCAACAAAACTGACACCTTTTTTACAAGGATTCATGTCTGCATTAACCACAATACTTGCAGTCAAAACGCAAACAAAAAACATAACTCTGATAATATATGCATTGTCCTTGAAGCTGATTGGTCCACACCCGAGACAGCTTTCTTTTGAGCCTCGTCTCAATTGGTGCTCGACCAGATGACGCCAAAAGGCGTACAGCTCAAAGACAATGCACTATCAAAGTAATGAGGGCTCGGGGTAAGCATCTACATCATTAGACCTCTTTATCAGAGTGTGTTTTTTGTTTGCATTTTGACTGCAGGTATTGTGGTTAATGCAGACATGAATCCTTGTAAAAAGGTTTCAGTTTTGTTGCCAGAAAAAAGGGGAAACCCCCTATTATTATATTTTGGTACTGGCAAAGGAGGTATAATGATAAAGTGCAGTATTTGATTAAATGCCAATGGACCCTCATGTGATTAAATAAAGTATGTGTTCAAATATCTCAAAGCAATTGACTACATGTCAAAGGACCCTCACATAAAATAAAGTATTTGTTAAAATATCTCAAATAAAGCAATTGATTAAATGTCAATGGACCCCCGCGTGGTAAAATAAAATAATTTGTTCAAATATCTCAAATGTATTTTATTAAATCTCAATGGACCCTCACATGGTTAAATAAGGTATTTGTTCAAATATCTAAAATATATTTTATTAAGTAGCAATGGACCATCAAATGGTTAAATAAAGTTATTGTTCAAATATCTAAAATGGAGTATTTGATTAAACCTCAATAGAACCCCACGTGGTTAAATAAAGTATTTGTTCAAATATCTCAAATGGAGTATTTGATTTAATCTCAATGAACCCTCACATGGTTAAATAAAGTATTTGTTCAAATATCTAAAATGTATTTTATTAAATCGCAATGGACCCTCACATGGTTAAATAAAGTATTTCTTCAAATATCTAAAATGTATTTTATTAAATCGCAAGGGACCATCAAATGGTTAAATAAAGTATTTGTTCAAATATCTCAAATGTATTTTATTAAATCTCAATGGACCCTCACATGGTTAAAAAAAGTATTTGTTAAAATATCTAAAATGTATTTTATTAAATCGCAATGGACCATCAAATGGTTAAATAAAGTATTTGTTAAAATATCTCAAATGGAGTATTTGATTAAACCTCAATGGACCCTCACATGGTTAAATAAAGTATTTTTTTCAAATATCTGCTATGTATTTTATTAAATCGCAATGGGCCATCACATGGTTAAATAAAGTATTTGTTCGAATATCTAAAATTTATTTAATTAAATCGCAATGGGCCATCACATGGTTAAATAAAGTATTTGTTCGAATATCTAAAATTTATTTAATTAAATCGCAATGGGCCATCACATGGTTAAATAAAGTATTTGTTCAAATATCTAAAATGTATTTCATTAAATCGCAATGAACCATCACATGGTTATATAAAGTAACTGTTCAAATATCTCAAATGAAGTATTTGATTAAACCTCAATAGAACCCCACGTGGTTAAATAAAGTACACTGCACATTCTAGATTTGGGTTGCAAGCCATATGGGTCACCACATGTTTAAATGTTAACCAGTGTTGTGGTGACGTCACGGGTGGGGGAGCATACCGATTCGATCCAACACTTCACAGCGCTCAACAAAAACCACTTTCGATTCCACAAAGCCGTATCGCGATCACCGGCACGGACAACGGGGAGGTTGGTTGCTTTAATAAACGACTCGATTCTCGACGATTCCTTCGCGAATCGATTCCCACCTCTTCCTCTGCTCTTCCCCCGGAAGTGTTAAAGCTTCGGGGTTGAGTGACGCCGGCTTGCGGGAGGTGAACGCAGAGAAGGCGGAGGAGGAGGAGAAGGGGGGTGAGAGACGTAGCGACGAGAAGAAGGACGAGAGAAGAGGTGGAGGGCTCTCTCCTCCGCCTCCTCGTCGAGCGAGCGAGCGGCCGTGGAGACGCGAGGAGACGCAAATGGCCGCCCTGGCGCTGCTCAGCTACGAGAACAGGCCCCTCAAGAGGCCTCGTCTGGGACCCCCAGATGTCTACCCGCAGGACCCCAAGCAAAAGGAGGTGCCTTGTTCAGCAGCAGCAGCAGCAGTATCATCATCAGCAGTAGTATCATCATCAGCAGCAGCAGTAGTATCAGCAGCAGCAGTAGTAGCAGTAGTATCATCAGCAGTAGCATCAGCAGCAGCAGTAGTATCAGCAATAGCATCAGTATCATCAGCAGCAGTAGTATCAGCAGTAGTAGTATCAGCAGCAGTAGTAGCAGCAGCAGCAGTAGCAGCAGTAGCATCAGCAGCATCAGCAGCAGTGGTATCATCATCAACAGTAGTGGTATCAGCAGCAGCAGTGGTATCATCAGCAGCAGCAGTGGTATCATCAGCAGCAGCAGTGGTATCATCAGCAGCAGCAGTGGTATCATCAGCAGCAGCAGTGGTATCAGTAGCAGCAGTGGTAGCAGCAGCAGCAGTAGTAGTATCATCATCAGCAGTAGTATCATCATCAGCAGCAGTAGTATCATCAGCAGTAGTATCATCAGCAGCAGCAGCAGTATCATCAGCAGTAGTATCATCATCAGTAGTATCATCAGCAGCAGCAGTATCATCAGCAATATCATCATCAGCAGCATCCTCATCAGCAGCAGCGGACGATGTATCAGCATCGCCGCCGCCGTCACCAGGACGTTCACCATCATTGTCTACAAGAGTACTTTCACAGGCGCCGGTAACATCATCATCAACATCATCATCATCAACATCATCATCACACTAGACGTTGTATCGTCATCAGTGGCACCTGTATCGTCGTTATTATCGCCGTCATGAAAAGTATCATCAGTCACCATCTTAATCAGCAGCAGCTGCACAAGCAACGGTATAATCATCGTCAATAGCAGCAGGTGTATCATCATCAGCAACATAGTTAATTCAAAGTATCGGCATCCTCGTTCCTTCCAGCAGTTGTGTTATCATCAGTAGCAGCTGATGGTTAACGACGATGATCGTGAAGCAACCACAGCTGCACCACCATCATCATCATCAGCTGTCGTGATTTTATCAGCTGTCCATCAGCATCATAATCACCACTCCCATCATTGTCGCCATCGTCATCATCCTGTCGCTGCTTGTGTTTGTTCGCTACGATCGCACCCAACACGGGCATCATCATCATCATTGTTCGTATCGTCACCCTCATCACTTCATACACTTCTAATCCTCAATCCATCGTTAATGTGTGCACGTATATTGAAAGTCGGTCATATTCGTCAGCATTATAGCAATCGTCACGATCGTAGATTTATTCCCATAGAAATCGTCGTCATCATCATCATCATCCTCATCACCATCATTGATACTCGTTAATATCGACATCTTAGTCATAAGACTCAGCATCGCCAATACATCTGCCATGCCATTACCCTCACGACCATCATTGTTACTTACAATCGCAATCATCTTTAGTCATAGTTAAAACAAGCTCATAATTATTACTCCAATGATACACAGTCTTTATATTTTACATTACAATCATAATAGTAATAATCATCATTAGCATTATCAATCAAAATATCGTTATTTAGAATCGTAGCTCTTGTAAACCAATCTTTACCATAGCAATAATCTACATCATCGTCCTCACCAGCGTGATAAATACAGCAAATCGTCGCCACCTTTCCACAATCAACATCCTGAAACAAAAATAATAGGCCAACTTAAAGGAGGCGAATGGGGTCAGTCATGTCCACGGTCGGTGTTGGTGGGTGGGTGGCTGGCTAGGTGGGTGGATGGAAGGGTGGCTGGATGGGTGGGTGGATGGATGGATGGGTGGTTGAGTGGATGGCTAGGTGGGTGGGTGGCTGATCAGGTGGGTGGCTGGCTAGGTGGGTGGGTGGCTGGCTAGGTGGGTGGGTGGATGACTGGCTAGGTGGGTGGATAGATGGCTAGGTGGGTGGATAGATGGCTAGGTGGGTGGATGACTGGCTAGGTGGGTGGGTGGCTGGCTAGGTGGGTGGGTGGCTGTCTAGGTGAGTGGATGGCTGGGTGGCTGGCTGTATTGGTGGCTAGTTGGATGGCTGACTGAGTTGCTGGCTGACTGACTGAGTTGCTGACTGACTGAGTTGCTGAGTGGCTGACTGAGTTGCTGAGTGGCTGACTGAGTAGCTGGCTGGGTGGATGGCTGGCTGCTTGGCTGTCTGTCTGGCGAGCGAGCGAGAGAGCAAGAATGGCACTACGCAGGTTGTTGCTGGGGCTTAGTCAATTGACAGTCAATGAGGGTTTGCTGAGCGCAGTCAGCCCCTTCGCTAAATGCGTCTCCTTCCTTCTGCCCGGCTCTTTTGTGGCCCGTGTGTTTTGTTGTCATGTAAGCCGGGCTTGAGCCGAGCCGGCTCGGGCGTGGTGCCATCCATCCACAACAACCCACACGGTCGGGTTTTTATTTTATTTCCCGGCCTCAGTAAGGTGTCTCGCTAACAAGCCTTGCTCCGGCTCTCCCACGAAGCAGCCCCGTGTAGGCTTAACGGTGATCTTTTGTTGTTGTATGAGTCAAGAACACGTTGTGGTGGGAACAGATGGTCCGTTATTATTTTTTTGCTCTCATCGTTTTGTTTCCTGGCGTGGTGGGTTCGATGGGATTAAGATAATGCTACAACATTCCTGTCAACCCACACGTTTTACCCGTATTCTTGTACAGAGAAATTGTAGGATGAACGTTGATATTTACAAGGTCATGGGGTGACCAATAAGGTCGGAATTAGTCTGTGATAAGGGAAGCACTGATAAGGCTTTTGCCAAGTATGCTACAACAGTTTATTTCTTCCAATGTATTAATATGCCCCAATCTGCTCCTTCACTCCTGGCCCTTTATCGATCAGCTGCTGGCTGAAGCCCTGAAACCACACCGTCTTGGTCATGGAAGGGGGCGGGGGGTGTTTGACCACACCTCACCGCCCTGGTCGGCGCAGATTGATCAACCATCATCATCGCATTCAGATATCGCTCGGACACTGACCTTAACCCTGGCCGTGGTTCAAACTCCCTTGCCCGCCAAAGCACTCCAGCTGCGAGCTCCTCCACCAATGTGTTTAGAGTACTTGCCTATTGTGTTGGGGTGCAGTCAGCTTGCGTACGGCCAGGCTTGAGCCTGGACGGTGTTTGGATAGGCGACTGCCGTGCGTTAAACAGGGGTTAGGCTCCTTGCGTGTGTCCGGCTCTGTTGTGGGATAAGCAGAGGGAGTGCAGGAAACAAAAATCCCTTGTACCGTGGTGAAGTATGGTCAAATAAACCTTCAAGACCCACACGGTGTGGGCAGAAGGAGGAGCCAGGAGGAGGCCCTCATTCATTTGCGGATTGACAGTCGGGGCTGTGAGTGCGGTCATGAATTTTAGTCGATGGCAGGTCGCCTGTAGTGGTGCTTTAAAGTGTGGGTTCTCCAACATCTTCCAAGGGGTCCTGGCCAGCGTAGAAGAGTAGGACAAGTCGCATCAAGTGCATTGTAGGGCTGCACCTTTTACAAGAGTGCACAAGCAAGATTCACAGCGCACAAGTATTGCCTGAACTATATAATGCACAATTCTAGCGTATGTCTGCAAAACAGTACACATGCACAATACAGATGTAGGCAGCAGCGTTGCACGTACAATATCGCAAAGTGCGTGGACTTGATTGTACACCCTAGTTTATAAAGTACCATGGGCATTGTGCAAAGCTTCTTTTTATAAAAACCAGACCCTGGGGGTGGAGGGGGGGGAGGGTGGTTCTGTTATTGTGAGTGGTGGCACATCCAAGGAGCTATCTAGATTTGAAGTTTTCGTGACTGCAGGGATCCATACTCTTTGGTTCTTTCGGTAAAGTCACGTAGGTGAAAAATAAATTAATATATTTTGGAAATGGCATAAAAGAGGAAAACCAAGCGGTGAGCACATCTTGTGTTTTGTCGTCTGATGAGTGGTGCGTGTGTGGGCCTTCCGGCAAACCGAGTTCGATTCCCGCTCACGGCAAACACCATTGACGATTATTTGAACCGATACTGGTCCTTCCATAGGTCGACTCAGCCTCAAATGAGTACCTGGTGCAGGTGTGTAAACATCGCCACTGGGGAGACAAAGGCGGCTGAGCATGGTGTTGGCCACCCGCTCCCTCGTGTACCGTGTTGTGCCTTAATAGGTGCTCGCTAACAGCACTTGCCCTACAGGCTATACGGGGGATCTTTGTTTGCCTTCATGGCACCTTAAAGCAATCAGTCTTTTTCCTATGCGCAATGTTCTTTGAGTGTCTCATTGTGTGTGTGCGCATACGTGCATCATGCTGACCAAAGGAGGAGCCCTTGTACTCTGTATATTTACTTCTTCCCACTATTCTACACTAGAATTAGTCTAATTTACAGGTGCGACGATTCGTCAATTAAATCGACCACGAGTCGATTAAAACGACTAATCGACTAATCATTGCAATCGACTACATATTTGGAGGTCTATTACTCGGTCCCACTTTAAAAATTACGGCCACTGCAGCATCCCCCCCTCTGAAGGTGGGAAACCTCCTATAAGCCATGCCCAGTGTGGCACAGCTGACGACACTGATGATGTCACCAAGCACCGCCCATTACCTCCCGTACAGCGGTACACGTGGAAACATAAGCGAGTCTTTTTTCCCTAGCTACCCGACTGTGGTATCTGAATTAGCCGAATAGTCAAACCGATAATTTGGGGGAGTCATCAATTGCTTAAATAATTATTGGACAGCCCAGCTGAGGCTCGCTTTGAAAATTAAGTTTAGCTTCGCCCGTGACCATCTACCCAACTCTCATTAAGTAGTGAAACTGAATGCTCTAACAGTAGCCATTGTCTTTAGGAAATTTTAGTTCCTATAAGTTGAATGCAAATATTGGAATCGTAACAGTGAGGATTACCTCAAGTCCAAATTTGCACGAATGTCTGACATTTAAATAAAGTTTGAAGCTGAAGTCAAACATCATCATTAATCTTAGCCCAGCTTGGACAGTTTATTCAAACAAGGAAGAGGCTATGAACATAAACTTTTTTTGTCCAAATCAAACTGCAGTAAATATTTGTACTGTTCATATTGTACTGCCCAAACAAGAACTTGTACACAACGCATGAATTCACATTTAAGAGGTCCTGGGCTCTTCATACAGAATGGAGAATGCACACCACCGACAACCACCCTATCCCCTTTGTGCTCAACAGACCTTGGTTAATGAGCACTGCAGGAGCACAAATCATGCAGCATTAATATGAACAAGGCAGTGATGTAATGCTTTCCATGTGCCTGAAAGTACATTAATGGTGGCATAAAGCTCCAGACACCAAGGCAGATTTAAAGTATCCTAGAAAAAAAAAATGTATGTGTTGCTGCTGCTGTGCACTCTTCTGCTGTTTCATTCTTGTTGAAATCAAGCAAATTGATAACATGAGAGAAAAGGCAGCGAGTCCATTTAGTGTCGATAATGCTGCCGGAAGGTTTCTGTGAATGTAACGGTTAGAGCGAATCAAACTGGCCAGTTGTTGCCAGGGTGTGATTGTTATGACCAAAGGGGGGTAGTGGCTGGAAGGCGGGAGGGGGGGGAAACCTTTTCCTTCCTCGGCGCTGAATATGACTCTCTCAATCCTTTGGCGGGCCACGCAGTAACACGCACCTCAGTCACTTGTGCCGCTGCGAGAGAGCCCTTACAGTGACCCGGGTGTGGTAAAATTAGAAACGGCGTTGTCAGGTGAAAAAAAAATTCCCATCTAGTGCGCAATTAGTGCTGTTAAGATGTTTGCCGCAGTGACGGATTAGTTTTCGGTTGTGGGCCGTTTTGAAGTGGGGTAGGATTCATGCGGTCGTGGGACCGTGTGAAATAAAGTTGTGGTGCCTTTTCTGACCATAGACGGACGATAAAGGTGATGAATATAGTTTCGTGAGCGTTGCGTTAACTTATGAGTGTCTGCTCGTTGGTTTTCCCCTTTTTGTACCTCTAGGACGAGCTGAATGCCGTGAATGTGAAGCAGGGCTTCAGCAATCAGCTGGCCTTCTCCGGCGATGAGCATGGCAGCGGAAGGAGTTTCCTCAACCAGATTGTACCAGCCAAGGTAACGCCAACAAATCTTTCATCTGTACCTTACGATGCCCCGGAACTTGTCCTTGTCTGCAAGGCTTAATGCACATCAGTTAGCAGTGAGCATTACTTGATAAGAAGAACACTTTTTACGAGTACACTTCCTGCTTTGACAAAGTTCATGAGCACCATCATTGACAAAAACAAGTTATAAAGTAATGCATGGATTCGGTAATGCTTTCCAACATGCACTAGGCTGATAAAGTATTTTGTTACAAACAAATGGATAACAAAAGATAAGCATGCTATAAAAACATGATGCTACCAGCTATTATGTACAGTAAAAAAGCATTAACATTAACCATATCAATTGGAACAAAAACTGAAAAGTGTCCAAAGTGGCCTGGAGAGACAGATGCTTGGACTTACATTGAGAGACAGCGAGAGCAACGCACGGATTATAAAATAAAGATGCGCTTGCTAATGACACGATTCCAATTGATGAGAAAAGTAAGTGGGCTTGGGCAGGGACGCACGATGACGAGAAGGGACGACGATTGATGGTCAAGAATAACGATGGAGCGTGGCAGCCAAGGCAAGGAACGCGTCAGATCGAGCGGTGAAATCAGTCGGTGTTCAGCTCCATGGTGGATTGTCGCATCGCGGGATAGTGAGAGATAGTAGGGGGTTTTCGGAAGCCCTTCAGCAGTTGATTGATCATTCTTTCCGCATCGCCAACTGTTTGAGTCTACTACAGTGTTTATTAAATTATATTATGTAACAGAACGCCATGGGCAGTAGTTGCAGTTCCGTAAGCAGACAAGTGAACTGCTCGATTTAAAGCTTTCGTGACTGCAGGGATTCATCTTCTTGGTTCTTTCGGTAAAGTCACGTAGAATGGAAATAATAAAATAATAAAAATGAAACATAATAACAGGTCTGTTCTGCACCTGAGGACGGCTGCTTGCGTTGTGGCCGAAACGTCGTGAGAATTATTTTATTATGTTTTATTTTTATTATTTTATTATTTCCATTCTACGTGACTTTAACGAAAGAACCAAGAAGAAGTGAACTGCTATCGGTGCAACCTGACTAGTGATTTGGAGTGCCTGACCAGCCTCATTTCCTGTAAATATTGTGGTGTTGAAATCGGAACATCTTGTCCGTGTTCTTGTCTTCGCCTCTGCTGTAGCATTAAGGTATCTATTTAAATGCAAAGTCCCCTTCACGGTGTTGTACTTGACTTGCATGTACTTGCACTTGGTTGCAAATAGGCTTCTGGCTGTTGGTTCTGCGCTGCATCTCTTTGCCAGTAATATATTACTTAGCTCATCGTGCCAGTGCGCACCTAAGCAACAACATGGTGCATTTTGTTCAATACCCTAAGTGTGTGTGTTTTACGGCTTTTGTTGTGCTGTTGCAATCGGCGTTCCAGTTTTTGCAAATGTGATGGTGCACTTAAGAGCCTTGGTCAATAAAAATGCACCCACGGCCGTGACTGATCGGCATATTCCTAAAACTTGAAAGTGCGCAAAGAGGCATGGAGAGATTGATTTCTCGAGTTGCATTGAGACAGGAAAAGGAACGCAAGAATCGGATAACTTACGCAGGTTAGAGGCATTTTTCTTACTCAGATTTACTTCGTTTAATCTGGTAACTGTTAATAAAAGTAAGTGAGATTGGGAAAGACACGAAGCTTAGAAGGGATGGTGGCTGATGGTCAAGAATGATGAGGGAGCTGCAGCCAAGAAATGGGAAACGTGTCTGAGAGGACGTTCACAGGGGAGGATAATGGAGCGATGATGACTTCAGCTCATGCGCAGGTTCTGTGTGGGTTAATATACCGCACGATTGCGAGATAAGGTGGCTTTCATCCAGCAGCGGATTGACCATGGCCGATGTGTGACGTTCTGCTGTGTCGCTGTGAATGTGGATATGCACATAGAGGCACAAAGTGGCGTGTTCCAAGTGTTCAAATGACTGACGACACATACAATGAAATGCTTCATTAGCCGCACCTCTGGCCCTGCGTGGCCCCCAAAACCACATTCAGTTGTCTTGTAAAGCCAACGGGTGAAGGTTTAATAAGAAGGTTTTTTCACATTTTTTCTGGCAACAAAACTGAAACCTTTTTACAAGGATTCATGTCTGCATTGACCACAATACTTGCAGTCAAAATGCAAACAAAAATCACATTGATAATATATGCATTGTCCTTGAAGCTGATTGGTCCCCACCCGAGACAGCTTTCTTTTGAGCCTCGTCTCAATTGGTGCTCGACCAGATGACGCCAAAAGGCGTACAGCTCAAAGACAATGCACTATCAAAGTAATGAGGGCTCAGGGTAAGCATCTACATCATTAGACCTCCTTATCAGAGTGTGTTTTTTGTTTGCATTTTGACTGCAAGTATTGTGGTTAATGCAGACATGAATCCTTGTAAAAAGGTTTCAGTTTTGTTGCCAGAAGAAAGGGGAAAACCCCTATTATTATATTTTGGTACTGGCAAAGGAGGGCTAATGATGAGGGTGAAGGGTTTGGCCACAGCTCGGCATGGCATATAGCTCGTGGGAAACCAGCCACGCCATGAGGACCCCAGATATTCTTAGGTTTGTTTTTTTCGGTAAAGTCACGTAGGTAAAAAATAATAATAAAAGTAAAATAAATAAAAATAAATATTTTATATTATTTTGTTTTTATTTTACTTTTTAATATTAAAAGTAAAATAAAAAGTAATTTATTTATATTTTTATTTTACTTTTATTATTATTTTTTACCTACGTGACTTTACCGAAAAGAAAAAAAAAACCTAAGAATATGAATCCTTGCAGTCACGAAAGCTTCAAATCTAGAATTAATACCCCAGATATGGCTTGGCTCGGATGTGCCGGTAGAAAGTAGTGGGTCCTGGAGCCGGAGTGCCCAGGGCTCACTGCCACTTGCCTGCTGCCCCATGATCCTTGGGACTCAGGGCCGCAGAACGTTACAGCCACAAACAATACAAAAATACGATGGGATTGTAAAGTATCGGAGAGGTCAACAGATCACTTAAAATATACAAATAAAACTAAACTATTTCTATCTTACCCGGTAAAGCCCACTGAGGTATTAACTTATTTTTCAGAAGCGACCTGGCCACAAATGATAGCTCAACAAAGTGGCTTTGGCATGTGGAATTGTCTCGCAGCGAAGTAATCCAAACAATCTCAAAGCACATTTCTAAATGTGGAGGGGAAAAACCGGAGGATCTCGAGGCACGGCAGGCACGGCAGGAGCACACGCGGCAGAGGTCGCAAACGGGTTTTGATTCCTTACCCGTACCCGGCCGCACCAGGGTCGCAAATGGATACCCGTACCCGGCCGGGTACGGGTACCCATTCCCTACCCATACCCTACCCAAAATGAGTTACAAACGGTTACTCACCAGTGACTCACGGTCTACCCGTATCCGTACCCGGCCGCACCAGGGTCGCAAACGGCTACCCGTACCCGGCCGGGTAGCCGGGTATCGGGTAGTGTACGGGTATCGGGTACCCGGTTGCGACCTCTGACATGCGGTGATCTACCCCCAGACAACGAGAGCACGCCACAAGCTCGGTTCAAGGACCTGCCACAAGGGCAAGCCGAATATATCATACAAACAAAAGAGTAGAACATTTTAAGGCAATAATTGATGAACACCAGCCTGTCTTTCCGACAGACCTGTTCTTCACCTGAGGATGGCTGCTTGCGTTGTGGCCGAAACGTCGTGAGAATAATTTTATTATGTTTTATTTTTATTATTTTATTATTTCCCTTCTACGTAACTTTACCGAAAGAACCAAGAAGATGAACACCAGCCTATGCATGACCAAGTGGTGATTAAACGAGTTTGAGGAAGGCTTAGCTCTTGCCCTCTCGTAGGTACAGGGTTATGTGAGGCAAGGCTTTTTCTGCATGGCCTGGTGATCACCCAAGAAGTATGTGTACATGCACAGTCCTTCCGTCAGTCCGCTGCTGGATGAGTGCCTCATTCCCTGTGGGTCACGGTGGCTACCTTTGCAAGCTCTACCCAGGCTCAAATTTGCTTAGCTTCTGAGATCTGACACTTTCTTGCTGATTATATGATATATTCATTCTAAGGCTATACTTATCAGTTGTGATTGTGGGTGTTATTAGGGCCTACTAGGGCCTACAAAAATAAATTTTTGGTATGATTACCCAGTCTTACAATTGCAGCCACTTGATATAATCATTGTAACCATTTGTCAAAATGAGTGTTGTTTTTTTTGCTTATTTTGTTTCCCGGTCTTGCCGCCCCATGATGCAGATTGGCGCATACTTCAGCGACATACTCGCGGAGAAGTTCAAGCTGAACACGTTTCAGGACACGGGAAAGAAGAAACCGCAAGTGAACACGAAGGACAACTACTGGCTGGTGACGGCCCGCTCGCAGTCCGCCATTCATAACTGGTTCACAGACCTGGCCAGCAACAAACCTCTCACAGGGCTCACCAAAAAGGTGGGTAGCCCATGCCGTGCGCGGCTCACAGTGCCATCGGGACAATCTTATTCTTAAATTTCGATTTAAAGCTTTCGTGACTGCAGGGATTCATCTTCTTGGTTCTTTCGGTAAAGTCACGTAGAATGGAAATAATAAAATAATAAAAATAAAACATAATAAAATCATTCTCACGACGTTTCGGCCACAACGCAAGCAGCCATCCTCAGGTGGAGAACAGGTCTGTCGAGAAGACAGAGACCATTCTGTCTTCTCGACAGACCTGTTCTCCACCTGAGGACGGCTGCTTGCGTTGTGGCCGAAACGTCGTGAGAATTATTTTATTATGTTTTATTTTATGTTTTATTTGTATTTTATTATTTCCATTCTACGTGACTTTACCGAAAGAACCAAGAAGAATCTTATCCTTGATAAGTCCTTCGTGTTGCTCCTGAACAGTCCAGGAGTGTATTCCCACGTTTTTATATTCATCTTTTTAAAAAATCCACAAATTAGGCATGAGTACAATAAATTCATCCCAACTCATAGGAAGTGGGCGTCACTCATTTTACATCACTTCCTCTGCTTTTTTTTTGCCGAAAGGGACATAATTTTAATGAGGCGTGTTGTCACTTGTTGTTAAAGTACTAAGAAGTATACAAATGTTCACGTTAAAAAGCATTATTTTACTTGTGAAACCTGATGTTAAAACATTTGAATGCAACGATTCATAATTCTTAAAGTGGTGGCATATGGTGCATAAACAATGAACATTGTACATATTTAATACAATCAAATGTGAAAATATAAAATAAAATGTGATCATGGGCACCTAAAATTTCTTAAAATCCGATATTGCAATTTCTTTTGAAACTCGTCCTTGGCATTAAAAATATTGAGTGGACTTACTTAGCTTGGTACTAATATAGGGATTTATACAACCCAATATGCCAAAATGAATTTTGATAGAGCAGGCAGCCCGTTGTGTACAGGGTGTCAGAAGTCATCCCAACAAATGGATTTCATCTCATTCTGAGATGCTGCGCACTGTCAATTATTGATTCGTGACGATGGTTGGTGCACTGTTCTCACCCCAATTGACCTGACTTGGATTTTTTTCATGTTTCCAATGAGTGTGGCACCCTTAAAAATCATACTTGTAACTTAGATGAGTAGCCAGCACTGCCAGCCAGCAAGCCAACGCAACTCGCACCTCCGCTTTCTTTGTAACTTTAATCGGCGGTGTTAATCATCGTAATGTGACTGCATATTAGGCGTATGACCAGTGCGTTTTTTTATTATTCATATTGAAAGCAATTTTAATGAGTTACGTCCGAAGAGGCGGTACTTAGAATGCGTTAATGCAGTTTATTTTCGGACACTGTGCCTGGAAATTTTTTTGCCATTTGTCTTCACCGCTCTGTTTATTATTGGTGTTTAAAGACATTTTTTTGGGATGTGGTCACGCATGCTTGGAATTACACTGAGGGACAGACTCGAGGAACGCAATGATTGAAGAACATACGCAGGGTCAAGACGTAGTTCAAACTGTTGGGGAAAGTAAGTGGGTTTGAGGTAGGACAGATCGCTTGAAGGGATAATGGGCTATGGTTAAGAATAATGATTTAAGTGGCAGTCAAGGACTGGAACATGGTAGAGGGAGACATCCACCATGAAGATGGAAAGCTGAAATTATCTTGTGTGCCGGTGCTGGGTGGATTGACACGTCATTGGAGATGGTGGCGGCTTGGGAAGGGCTTCATCCCGCAGTCGATTGAACATGACTGACGATGACTATGAATTACTAAATTGGGTTCTTCTACTTGGTGCTGTGGTTTATCATGAAATATGCTGAATAAAAAAAAAATTGCGAGACAAACGGGGATTTTTTTTTGTATAAACCTTTTTAATAATAACATCTTTCAAGAGTGTATCACAAAGGAGGCAAAATTTCCAAATAATAACTCAATAGTTTTGTTTTGCACAGGTAGGGTCCATCACTCACCGTGATTCGGTTTCACCCATTTTTCTTGACTGCTGAACACATTCAGATATATTTCCAATATGCATTTCTGAAACTAAATGCACGATACCCAAAATCCTGGTTTTTTTTATTAGTGGTAGCATAATCAACACATTTTCACAAAGCTGTGCTAATTTCCCATCACCGTTAAGCTCTGATGATTTTTAATAACGTAGTTTATCATGATCTTGCGTTTCATCTTGCTGCTATCAGGTAGCTTAATTTTATGACATCAAACAATTCCATTTGCAGTACATCTCCCGTGGTACACGCTCGTTAGCATATTTAATATGTTTACCGGAAATCTCTTTAATTGCATTCGTGTAAAAATTTTGCTCGCAAATCCATAACAAAAGAATCTTGACAAATATTTTCAACGCAAATGGGTATGGAGATTGAACTGGGATGCAGGGCATTTCTGCGCCTCCGATGAGCACGGTCGGCTAAGTATGGTGTGAAGGAAGTTCAACGTACAGAAGGAGTAGGCGGAGACCAAAGGGTGAGAGCGACGGAATCCGTAGAATGAGAGACAAGGAGAGTGGATGTGAGTAAGAAGCACATCGAGAAAAAATCTGAGCAGCTGACCTCCGTGCAATAGTGAGACTTTTGACTTCGAATAAGAAGAAGCGATTTGCTCTCACCTTTCTAAGCCCTTTGCCAACATCCTCTCAATGTTCTCTCTACAGGTGCCCATTCTCAGTAAGAAGGAGGAGGTGTTTGGATACTTGGCCAAGTACCTGGTGCCTCCCATGCGTGCCGCGTGGCTCATCAAGATGACGTGCGCCTACTACGCCGCCGTGTCGGAGGCCAAGATAAAGAAGCGTCAGGTCATCGACCCATGCCTGGGTAAGCGCGCTCGCTGCTGGCGGCAGACTCGCGCGGCCTCACCACTTGCTCATTCTTTTACGTGTAGCGAAGGACCATGTTCCAGGCCAGCCCTCTGCGGCGGTCTTGCACAAGCATTTTGTTGTAGTAATAGGTTTTTACCCTTTCAACTGGTACAAAAACTGACGCCTTTATACAAGGCATCATGTTTGCAATAACCACAACACAAGCAGTGAAAATGCAAACAAAAAGAAACTACTTTGATAATGATAATGATATGCACTGTCCTTGAAGTTGATTGGTCCACACCCGAGACAGCTTTTCTTAGAGTCTAGTCTACATTGGTGTTGGACCAGATGACGCCTTTTGGCGTCATCTTGTCCAACATGATGCCTTGTATAAAGGTGTCAGTTTTTGTACCAGTTGAAAGGGTAAAAACCTATTACTATATTTTGCCACTGGTAAAGGAGGTCTCATAGTGTAAAAGCATTTTGTTGCTTGTGTGATTTTTTAAAACGATGCCGTTGGGGGGGAGGGGGGTGGGGGGTTAATTTTGCATGACCGGCATCTCGCTTCGTGGTTCTCCAACGTGTGTCCAGGTTGTACCGCACCCACGTCACGGATAGAGGGAGTCCGACTGTTCTAAAATTATATTAAATCTACTCCACTACAGACTACTCGATTGGAAGCTTCCGACGAAATGTTTGGGACACCGTTGCCGAGTAACCCGGGTCACTCGCGTTCGATTCCCGCCCACAGCTAACGTCAATTTCCGATTAGCACGGTTGCCTATGTACGGTGACCAAGCAGTTCAACATGCTGTACATTTTTCCACGACACTTGCAATCAGCCATGCGTGTGAGAGAAATTACTATTTCATATGTATTGCCACTTCCATGCAAATGTTACTTTTAGGCTAATTTCAGAAACTACGCACATTAAAAAACCCAACAAAGAACAATCAAAGACAGACGGTACAAAGACAATACCGCCCTCCACGCTATTCAATTGAAGCCACTCTAAGGAATTTCAGTGGTAGCTCAGTGATATTCACTTCAGCAGGCCATTCTCTAACAAGAAGGGAGTATTAACTCTGCAGAGAGACCCAAGTAGATATGGCAAGATGTTAACGCCTTCACCTGGTATATAGGAAGTCGTGGGTTCCATCCTGACCCCGGCGCCTTCTATATTTGGAGTTTGAATGTCCTGCCCTTTGTCGTGTGGATTTTTCTCCAGATCCCCGATTTTACCCAGGTGGGACCGTCACAGCCAGATTTTCTTGATGCAGCAAATCTGCTTGATGCAGCAAATCTGGCTGTGACGGTCCCACCTGATGACGGAGACTTGTGTTGCCTCCGAAACGTCGTGATTTTATTGTTTTATTTTTATTAATTTTAATTTCATTTTTATTAATTTTTATTTTTATTCATTTTAATTTCATTTTTTACCTACGTGACTTTACCGAAAGAACTAAGAGTATGAATCCTTGCAGTCACGAAAGCTTCAAATCTAGAATATATTTAATTTTACCCTTGAATTCTTCGGTCGAATCGCGAAAAATTACATCACGGCAAGATTTTCACATTGTCCCACTTGTGCGCGCTGTGCCTCGCAGAGTGGACCCAGATCCTCATACGGTACCTGCGCGAGCAACTGAGCAAGATCGCAGAGCACTACGTGGCAACGGCCAGCCAGGGCGGCCAGAGTGGCACCAACCCTTCCACCTTGACGCCCGAGGCCGAGCAGGCCATGAAGCAGTGGGAGTACAACGAGAAGCTGGCCCACTACATGTTCCAGGTGTGCTATGGAACGACCCGTTGTGTTCCACTCGCGTGCATCGCTCTCTTCACGCGAACTCCGGTCATCCTCGCAGCAGGGGTTTATGGCGAGCCGTCGAACAAAGACGGGTCACTGTATCACGTGGCGCTTTCAGATGCACTTCTGCGGCCATTTGGAACGCGCTCTTCCTTCCGATATTCAGAAGCCACTGGAGCGATACACTTTTTAATTATCTAGATTGAAAACTCATTTCTTTAGCACTGTTTTGTGTGTTTAGTTGTTGTTCTTATCCCCGCACCTCTGATTAGCGCAGTTGTTTACGTACGGTGTGAAAGAAGTTAAACAAATGTACATAATTCCCTTGGACTTTTGGAAATTTTGTTTGGAACACGATATCAAGTAACACGTGATTACAGTAAAACCTTGGATTGCGAGCATAATTCGTTCCGGAAACGTGTTTATAATCCAAAGCACTCGTATTTCAAAGCGAATTTCCCCATAAGAAATAATGGAAACTCAGATGATTCGTTCCACAACCCAAAAATACTGTATTCATATCAAAATGATTAATACAAAAGCCCTTTTTCTATTTTTATTATTTAAATTTAATATAAAGTAATCAAATGTATTAATTAAATTTTATCGTGGCTGGTGTGAGGGAGACGAGAGAGAGGAGAGGAGGGTTATTGTGTTGGACGACTTCCACTTGCAGTATAGTTACTAAAGAACAGTCGCTACACTTGGACACAAAATGAAAAAATGCTTTACGCACACACTCATGGTCACAACACTATAGTAAACAGTATAAGCTCGCACGGATGTTGACTATACGAATGATTATTATAGTAATGACCATTGTGCGTGCAATATAACGTACACGGTGTTACCCTTAACCCCTGCTAATATACGCATTGCAAAAATATAGTTTTAACTTTTTAACATTTTTTATTGTCATTCAAGAACCCAGGGGGAAAAAACAATTAGGGATGGAAAGGGGTTGTTCGGGGTCGCTGCCGTACCGCGGTAGGTGGGGGGGTAACGATTGGAAGCAACAAAAGTGTAGTTATTGTTTCATCTCGTTCGCTTGCGCAACCTGCATGTCGTCACGGAACAAGCGTGCGTGACCGCTGCGCTCAACCTCTGTTGCGCCTCCATACGTTGCATGGTCGTGGCTACGTACGGTGCGAGAGAAGTTCAGCGTACGTGTACGTACACGCTGAGCGTGCGATGGCCGTGTGTGTGCACGCTGCAGGAGGGCATGCTGGAGCGGCACGAGTACCTATCGTGGGTGCTGGAGGTGCTGGAGCGGATCAAGCCGGCCGACGACGAGCTCCTCAAGCTGCTGCTGCCTCTCGTTCTGCAGGTGCCGTGTGCCCCCCACACAACCCACATTCCTTTGCCCCCCACCTTGCTGTGCGCACTCGAGACCATTGCCGCAAGAAGAGATCCTAAACTAAACTATAAACGCTATCAGACCTCCTTTACCAGTGGCAAAATATAGTAGTAGGTTTTTACCCTTTAAACTGGTACAAAACTGACACCTTTATACAAGGCATCATGTTTTTTGAGTTGTACGCCTTTTGGCGTCATCTGGTCCAACACCAATGGAGACTAGGCTCTAAGGAAAGCTGTCTTGGGTGTGGACCAATCAATTTCAAGGACAGTGCATATCATTATCAGAGTTGTTTCTTTTTGTTTGCATTTTGACTGCTTGTGTTGTGGTTATTGCAAACATGATATTCTTGGTTCTTTCGGTAAAGTCACGTAGAAGGGAAACAACAAAATTCTCACGACGTTTCGACTGCAACACAAGCAATCATCATCAGGTGTGAAAAACACAGCAAAATTGTTTCCCTTCTACGTGACTTTACCGAAAGAACCAAGAATATAAACGGTTTCTTGTTTTCCCGGGTAAGGCCCATTGGAGCTACGTAGCTCTTTTTCATAAGCGACCTGGCCACAAATGATAGCTCAACGAAGTGGCTTGTGGAAATTTATAGCAGCCAAATACTCTAAACGCACGTTGATACTAGATGTGAACGTTAAAACTGGAGGGCCCGGAGAAAGATTAACGCGACCACGGGGAGACAGAACGTGCAAACTTAAAATATATAGTCGTCAAGGTCGGGATCGAATCAATGACCTTCTGTATACCAGGCGAGGGAATTAACGTCTCGCCACCGTGGCATCTGGTCTCCTGTGTGGCATGGAACTCTCCTGTCGTTGGCTCCGTTCTCTAGAGCGTGTCCTTGAAATTATTCGGTAGCTCACGCCGTGTGCCGTGTGTGACGTGGATTTTTGTTTTGGTGGTAGTGGTGGGGGGGGGGGATCAGTAAGAATGAAAAAGAAATAACTTGTAAATAGTGAATTGCAACCTTGTGTTGAATGAACTGCAGTTGTCGAATATTTACCGAATGTTTATTCCGACAGGACTTGCGGTAAAGTGCAAAAGCTATAGACGTAAAAATGTGGATACTGGGAAGCTAACAAGCCGAGAATTCCGTATCATAGCTCTCTGATAGGTTGAGGATACGCTTCAAAGAGCCATACATCACAACCGTGAACCCTACATGGTAATATATAGGATGAAAAATTATATCATTGCAACCCTGCATAGAAACCTCTCCGTCTGCTTCACAGTGGACGTTAAAGATGCCTGTGATATCATTCGTGAGAGTAAGCCATCGTGTGCCAGTGTCACGGTCTTTACATTTTTTTTCGAAAATTTGAAAGCACACCTTGCGGTGCGAAAGAAGTTCAGCGTATACATGCGTACATACAAATGTCTCGATCGGAATCTGGAAAATAGTCATGACACGGAGCGCTTTCTTTCTGAGTAAACGAGCATAATTAAAGAAATAACATATCTCCATCCTCTTCACCCCCCACCCCCAACTCCACCCACCACCGTCTCAGTACTCGGATGAGTTCGTGCAGTCGGCCTACCTGGCGCGGCGCCTGGCGTTCTTCTGCGCCCGCCGCCTCTCGCTGCTGCTGGGCGACCCGTCAGCCGCCACGGCCATGACCGGCCACGGCACGGGCCCTCGCTCCCACTCGCCGCTCCTCGGCCTTCCCTCCGGCGCCGGCGTCGGGGGGGGCGGCGGCGGCGGGAACAGCGGCGGCGGCGGCGGCGCAGCCGGCGTGGCTCCTGCGGTGCCGGCGGGCGGCAGCGCCCAGGGGACCCCGTCGGTGACGGCGACCGCGGGATCCACCCCTCCTCCACAGCCGCCCACCGGCTCCGCCAACCCGACACACCCGGCGTTCGCCGACTTCCAGTCGTGCCCCCAGCACCGCTCGCTCATCTACGGGCTCAGCTGCATGCTGCAGGTGCCGTGTGTTGGGACTGCGGCTGTGTTTCTCGCTCTCTCGCTCTCCTCTTTGCCTTCCTTGACTCGGCACGTGGTTGCGGTGTTCGCTGAGACATGCCCTTGGCTACGGGGGCGAGGGATGAGGGAATAGGCGATAAAAAATATAGTCTTGGCAGTCCAACGTGTTATAGACGAGATGTCGTACACACTGTGAAACTATTTATGCCGATGAGTAAGAAGATGTCGGACTCCGTAACACTGTGTTATAATATGCCTACGTAGTTTAGTGGTGTTAAGGTTAGATGTGCAGGCTGGGACTTTGGTAAGCAAAATGTTTAATTAAATGTCTCATTATGCACATGTAGTGTTCTGGAAAGAACACAACATTTTTCTCCACGTGTAGTGTTCTGCTAAAGAATGCTGCATGTGGCGTAAAATGTGTTCTAATTAATTCTCCGAGAGAATGCGTATTAAATAATCACTGGTTTTACAGAAGTATACAACTTTCTACCCGTGGCACACCACGGAAAGAGGACTACAGTCAAGGATATAATGTATGCGAAAAAAACGAAAAGGGAGAAATAAATAAGATAAATCATGGGATATAACAGGGCCAAGATGTCAAGGATCAGAGGGAAGGGTAAGGGAGCGGGGAGAGAAGGACGGAGCGAGCAGATGTGAGCTTGCGTAAAGCAGCGTCTGTTTTCACAGGGGGCATGGATAGAGGAGGGATTCGGAGTGGGGGTGGCCACACAGAGGTTGTGTGATTTTCAGAAGGCTTGAGCTGATGTAACGATATCGACGGAACAATGTGTGAAAACTTCATTCGAACTGAGTATTTATTTTTTACACGCCAAGCCGTGCATCCTAAAGGCAATGATGTTTTTCTATTAAACCCATACCGGGTTTAATAGAAAAATTCCGTAAGCCGTTCGTGAAATTACTGGCACACATTTGTAATGGCCAGTACAAGCGAGAGCGCTTGTTAGACGTGCAATGCGGAAGGCGTGTACAGTACTCTGAAAAATCCAGCTGCCATTGTCTTGTGTTTATTGCACAACCGACATTTCATGTTGCATTTCTGAGCGGATGCTATTAATCATCCTCTGTGATAGTCTTACGGGGCAGCGCAGGCCACCGCTAGTGAATGTTATTTGAGCGAACGTCGTGGGATTTGAAACCCTATCTTGCTGGCAAGCCTCACCAACCGCCGATAAAAAAAATAATTTTTTTACTTTTACATTTTACAAGTTAATGCAATGTGTGCGTGTCACAAGCCAAAGATATTTCTACTCGGAAATGCGGCGCGCGATAATAGCAGCGCACCTCCTTGTCATCGTCGTCATCATCATCATTGATTGTTTATGCCGTGCCTCCTCTGTAGGTGCATCTCGAGATGCCAGAGCAAAGGTGTATTTGACGTCTCCTTTTTCCCGTGTGCTGCCACCACAGTCATTTGTTTATCCAGCAGTCGGGCACACGATTGATGATGATGATAATGATGCGGCGGTGATGGCCGGGCCTTTAGCCCCGACAAGGTGCCTGCAGACCAATAGACGCTCTGTGGCCTGTGTTTCATGTAGTCACATGTGTCAGTGTCTTTAGAGTATTTTAGATAATCTTTCAGGAGTAACACGCTTGCAGACAAAATACATTGTTTAAAAACATACATTACGGACAATATGCGCAACAGTATAATTGTGTTAAAGAATAATTACGAAAAGATAATGTCAAAAATTACTCCTTCCAGTGAACCACTTTATTCTTTCTACGGGACTGTCTTTATACTGTCTGCAAATAGTCGTTGCCGTATCCCATTCAAACCAAATCTTTATTTCACAGAGCTCAAATATACAAATGAATGTAATTGTGATTGTGTGTGCAGTCATTGGTGGCCTGGCCGAGTCCCATCAGCCCCCACTACTCTCGAGTTCAATCGGGGTGTCGGCTTTGCTGGCTTGGCGTTCTTGTACTTTGCTCTCCCGTAATTTTGTTGTACTAGTTTGTTGTGATGTTCTCACCCGCCCCTACTGGGACATCTGTGAAAAAAGCTTCATAGCTCATCGTATTCCTCCAGCATAAATATTCTGATTCTGCAGTCACGATCCCTGCAGTCACGAAAGCTTTAAATCGAAATTCTGATTCTGACTTTATTAGCAACCCGGTCGCCTTGGTCAGCTGTTGCACACATCTGCCCGTCCCTTTATCGACACTCCACAACAACCCCACCCGCCGCCCCGCACTTTTATTCTCTTGCAGACGGTGACTCTGTGCTGCCCCAGTGCCCTCGTGTGGAATTACTCGCAGAACGAGAGCAAGACCAACACGCCGGGCTCGCCGCTCGACTTGCTGCCCCTTGCGCCCTCCAGCCTGCCAATGCCCGGGGGCAACAACGCCTTCAACCAACAGGTGCTGCTACCCCCCACCCCCTTCCCCCACCATGCACCATGCGACGGTGCCTTGACATCTACAGTTTGTCCTCAAAGTGTGTAAAATTCTACGTAGATGGGAACGAAATGTAAAGTCACACTTCCGCATGCTAAGCAATTGAAGAGCTGACGTTCGTAAGCACGGTAATGCCTGACTAGACATTTGTGAAAAAGAGCTTAATGGCTCATCGGATTCTACCAGTGTAAATAAAGATTCTGACTCGCTGTTTGTTAGCTGCATCTCCACGCTGCGCAGAAACATCACGTGCCAGTGCAAGTCCCAGTCAAGAACTGTGCTGTAACGAGTGCGGCGTTGTATTGTGCATTCTAGAATTGACTTGTGATACTGGTAGGAACCTCCTGGTTACACCAGCCCACAGGGGATTATTGTGTCCGTCCGTCGTGCAGGGAGGGGCTGGGTGGGGAGGGAGGGGCTGGGTGGGGAGGGGCTGGGTGGGGAGGGGCTGGGTGGGGAGGGAGGGGCTGGGTGGGGAGGGTGGGGCTGGGTGGGGAATGGGAGGGGTGGGGCTGGGTGGGGAGGGGCTGGTCACCCAGTGGTGCCCTTATAAAACTCAACGTTTAACCTACTCACGCCGTCTTGTGTCCACCCTCACAGTCGGGCAAATTTGCGAAATACACCACGCCGCCGTTGACCCTGGCCATTGACCGAGCAACCCAACGTTCCTACCAGCTCCCTCCGCTGGAATGTGTAATTGAGTGATTCTAGATTTGAAGCTTTCGTGACTGCAAGGATTCATACTCTTAGTTCTTTCGGTAAAGTCACGTAGGTAAATTAATAAAAAATAAATCAATAAAAATCACGACGTTTCGGAGGCAACACAAGCTTCTGTCTTCAGTTGAAACCGTCACAGCAAAATATCTGTACCTTATATAGTGGTTAAGGGGGGAGGAGCCAGGAAGGGCAGCTCCTCCCCCCTTAACCACTATATAAGGTACAGATATTTTGCTGTGACGGTTTCACCTCAAGACGGAAGCTTGTGTTGCCTCCGAAACGTTGTGATCTTTATTGATTTATTTTTTATTAATTTTACATACGTGACTTTACCGAACAAACTAAGATTATTGAGTGATGTCAGTGGTGCAACTAAAACAATACAAAATAACATTACAATATTAATATCATCAAGGACATTTCGTACAAGGAGTGCAAATGGTGTTCATGTGTTCTCGCCGATTGCGGCTGCTGAAGTGTAGGTGCGTGGCAGGTTGAGGCAGGTCGAGCAGCAGATTCCGTCAGCGAGGTCGTGCCGTTGAAGTTCGCTGGTCCTTCGACAAGTGCCAGGAGTCGACCGCGGGTGAGCGGCCGTGTTACATTTCACCTCTACACCCGCCCGCCCACCCGCCTGCTCACGGTTTGATGAATGATCACAATCTGACGTCCTAATTCTGTCCAAGAACCTGTTTTTAATCTCGTTGGCGGTGTCTTCTTTGTACCGTCTTTCTTAGTTTTTTTGCATAGTTTCTGCCATGAGCAGAAAAGTAATATTTGCATGAAAGTGGCAATACACCTGAAATAGTAAAATATCTCACACGCATGGTTGATTAAATGTGTTGTTGGCAAATGTACATAAGTATGTTTAAATTCTTCCGCACAGTACATAGCCACCCGTGCGAATAGGAGGTGCGGGAGAAGGACAACAAACTAAACACAAAAAGCAGTTCTAAGGAAATTAGTTTTCAATCTAGCTCCAGTGGCAAACAAAAACATAACTGATATTCTATATTGTTTCATAATTGATAAAAAATGATAACGCAGCAACCCTAGTGCGTGTATGCGTATGACTGTACGGGGTCTGCGTGTGACCCTGTGCTCATCTCTGTCTTCACATCACTGCCGTTTGCCAGGATTCACCATCAGCAAGGTCCTCTATACCCTGGAGCAGCTTGACAAGCACTGCTTTGACCGCTCCGACTCGAGCAGCTGCCTCGACTCGCTCTACAACAAGATTTTCTGCTCCCCGCAGAGCAAGGACGGTCAGGAGGTAAGGTCTGGGGAATGAACCCGAGCCCATCCTGCTACTGCTACCCCCGCCCCCCCAGCTACGCCCGTGTCTAGCAGCTGGCCATGCCTGACGACGCTATCGTAACGCTGCTGTGCGAGAGTGTGCCTGTACGCTCGTGTTTATAAATCGCGCGATGCCCGTGTTTGCCAGGTGGCTATGCCTTATGACGCTATCGTAACGCTGCTGTGCGAGAGTGTGCCTGTACGCTCGTGTTTATAAATCGCGCGACGCCCGTGTCTGGCAGGTGGCTATGCCTGACGACGCTATCGTAACGCTGCTGTGCGAGAGTGTGCCTGTACGCTCGTGTTTATAAATCGCGCGACACCCGTGTCTGCCAGGTGGCTATGCCTGACGACGCTATCGTAACGCTGCTGTGCGAGAGTGTGCCTGTACGCTCGTGTTTATAAATTTTGCGACGCCCGTGTCTGCCAGGTGGCTATGCCTGACGACGCTATCGTAACGCTGCTGTGCGAATGGGCCGTCAGCTGCAAGCGATCGGGGAAGCACCGCGCCCTGGTGGTCGCGCGGCTTCTCGAAAAGCGTCAGGCGGAGCTGGAAGCCGATGTGAGTTGTGGGCGGCCCACCAGACATGCGCTCATTACACACACAAAGCGCTTGCCACAAATGAACCAAAACACCTTGCTGATCTCGTCACGGAGCATAAACCGTGACGCAAACTACGGTCATCCTCGCAGCAGCAGCAGCAGCAGCAGCAGCGCCTTTTGGCTAGTCGTCGAACAAAGACGGTCACCGCATCGCGAACTTTCAGATGCGCTTCTGTGGCCATCTGGAATGCTCTTCCTTCTGATATTTGGATGCCACTGGAGCTACGCACTTTTAAATATAGATTTTAAACTAATTTCTTTAGAACTGCTTTTTGTGTTTAGTTTGTTGTCCTTCCCCCCCCCCCGCACCTCTGATTAGCACGGTTATCTGCGTACAGTGCAAAATAAGTTCCACATACATACGTACACAGTGCTGTGCTGTGACTAACACGAGACGTACACCCATAGCGCGTTTTCATCTACACCTTATTCTCGAAATAATGTTGATTGAACAGACCCCAACAGTTTATTTTTATAAAGGGTACATCACACTCCTGAAGGTCAAATTTTGAAGAGCATGCCCAGCAAAGTCGAATTGTTTCTTTGCTGTGTCTGCATGCTTCCCAGAAATGCCACGTGCCAGTTTAGTACCGTATAAACATTTTTCGTGCCACATTACGTCCAGACCAAGCGAGTATTTTTTTATTTGGAAATGTTTTAAGTTAATATTACACACCGCGTGTGTTGTAAAATAATATGAATTGTTCTGCACTCAAAGTGTTACACGGGCTCAAAGGTTTGTTTCTTTGTGGAGATAACGGATAGACCGGGGACCCCACCCCTCAATTAGCCCAGTACTCCGAGGACATCACGAAATAGCATCGGAACTCAGCGGTGATGGGAAGTTGGCAAAATTTGGTGATGACATTTTGGCGTTACGTGGGAAGTGCTCCGACCGATTGCTCCAAGACCGTGAGCAAGCAGTGTGTATGTATGTTGAACTTTTTTCACACCATACATAGACAACCGTGCTAATCAGAGGCGCGTAGAAGTGGAGTCATTGCTTTGGCTGGGTGTGTAAGTGACACAGCGCAGGCCTAAGCATGCTGACGACGTTCGTAAGCACAGTCTATGTTCTCTGGAGGTTGGTTTTCAAATCCCCCCCATCCCACCCAACCCCCACACCCCACTTCTACTGCCCAAAGCAGCGCTGCGGTGAGTCGGAGGTGCTGGACGAGAAGGAATCGATCTCGTCGGGCTCGCTGGCCGGCGCCAGCCTCCCTGTCTTCCAGAACGTGCTGCTACGCTTCCTGGATACGCAGGCGCCCATCATAAGTGAGCCGCACGCTTGGTCTGCCGCTTGGTCTGCCGCTTGGTCTGCCGCTTGGTCTGCCGCTTGGTCTGCCGCTTGGTCTGCCGCTTGGTCTGCCGCTTGCGGCGCAGACCTACGCCCGTGACGGAGTTGTGACGCTCGCTGACGTTGTGCTGTGTGTCTCCGTGACGGCTTAACCCTTATCCCGTTCCGATGACGTACGTGTACATCATGAAAATGAAAGAATAAAATAACTTGATAATAGGGGTTTTCACCTTTTTTCTGGCAACAAAACTGATAGCCTTCTTACAAGGATTCATGTCTGCATTAACCACAATACTTGCAGTCAAAATGCAAACAAAAACACACTATGATAATATTTGCATTGTCCTTAAAAGAAAGCCATCCCTTGGTGTGGACCAATCAGCTTCAAGGACAATGCATATATTATCATAGCGTGTTTTTTTTGCATTTTTACTGCAAGCATTGTGGTTAATGCAGACATGAATCCTCGTAAAAAGGTTTCAGTTTTGTTGCCAGAAAAAAAGGGGGAATACCCTATTCATCTTCTTGGTTCTTTCGGTAAAGTCACGTAGAAGGGAAATAATAAAATAATAAAAATATAACATAATAAAATAATTCTCACGACATTTTCGGCCACAACGTGACTTTACCAAAAGAACCAAGAAGATGAATCCCTGCAGTCACGAAAGCTTTAAATCAAAAAATGAAAACCCTATTATTATATTTTGGTACTGGCAAAGGAGATCTAATGATGAAATAAAATAACTTTATCGGTACCGAGACTCCCACAAGGCCATGCAGGAGGGCGTGTGGCACAGTTTGGCTGCCAGCTGTCATCGAGTGCAGCGGTCGTGTCACCACGGTTCTCTGCAGCGAGTACAATGTCTTGATAAACAGTGGCGCTATTATGTTCAAAATAAAATTAACACTGAGCCGCGAGTGCATTCCGAGATACAGAGGTGAACGGCGACCCTCCACCCTGCAACTTGCTCAGCAACTGCGATAAAAAAAATCGCCACTTTCGCCCTTTCCTGTTGTCAAGCCCTTAGGGGGCTGGGTTAATTCTATTGGTTGGTGACAACCAAAAGGTTCAGCGTTGAAAATCTTTAAATGGTCTGCAAAAGCTATTAAAATGTTGTTGACCACAGCTCCGTGTTCAACTTTAGAGTAACTGTCACTCTACCCCTTTAGAGCACTGTTAGATAAAACAACAACAAAACACCTCCCCGAGCCGTACTTTAAAAAAAAAATTCAATGGTCGCCTTCCCTCCGCAGCCGACCCAAGCAACGAGAGCGAGAAGATGGAATTCTCTAACCTGGTGCTGCTGTTCTGCGAGCTGATGCGTGCCGAGGTCTTCTGGCACGACGGCTACATGTGCACGCTGATCTCGCGCGGCGAGCTCGCCTGGGGCGGCGCGGCCGCCGCGGCCGCCGTTGCCACCGCCGCCGCAGCAGCCGCGGCGGCCGCCGCCGCCTCCACCTCGTCGTCGTCTGGGGGAGGCCCAGGCAGCGGCGGAGGAGGAGGAGGCAACTTAGGGGTCTGCTCTGGCTCCGTGGGGGGAGCCGGGCATCAAACGCCGTCGCCGCACCCCCACACGGTGCCCGACGGTTCGGGAAAGATGCAGCATTCCCAGCACCATTCGTCCGACATGAAGGAGGTGAGGTCTGAGTGGTCGGGCAGGTGGCCGGTGTTTCTTTTGGCAGTTGTTTCACCGTGATTTTTTTTTCTAAGTCGCTCGTTTCTCAGTCCGCTCGTCCTGGTGAGGGTCGCGGCGGCAGCATGTTGAGTAGGGCGGTTCAGACCTCCCTTTGGTTGGCGACGGACTCTAGCTCTTCCCGCAGAAATTCCCAGGTGTTTCCAGGCTCGCTGAGCGACATAGTCCCGCCAGCGTGTCCTGAGCCGGCCCCGGGGTCTTCACCCCATGTGGGACGTGCCCGGTAGAGTTCCAGGGGGAGTCTACCGGGGGGCATCCTTACCAGGTGCCCGAACCACCTCAACTGGCTTCTCTCGATCCGGAGGAGCAGCGGCTCGACTCTGAGGCTCTCCCAGATTACCGAGCTCCTCGCCCGATCACGGAGAGTGAGCCTGGCAAACTCTGCGGAGAAACCTCATTTCGGCCCCTCGTACCCGTGATCTCATCCTTTCGGTCATTACCCAAAGCTTAAGAACCAGGTACAGAGCATGAGCCGCGACGCAAGGAGGGGTACAGAAACTCCGCGGACAGAGGTCACGAACTCTGTGCTCCTGGGTTTAGAGAAGGGGGAGATTGGGCTTGCTGCTCCACCCAAGTGGGGACCGCAAGCGGGGTATGTTTGTACTTTTATTTGGGGAGGGGAAGATAATGGAGGAAGAACCTAAGTGAAGGGGGAAAGGCAATTTAATATTTTATGAAAATAAATGCGTATGGGTGTGTGTGTCATCTCCATGCGGTGGGGAGCAGTCGGGTAGCGGTTAGCACGCTGCGCTACGAACCTGGTGACACGAGTTCGATTCCTGCTCACAGCCAACACCGGTGACGATTATCTGAGCTGGTCCTGGAACTCCCCTAGGTCGAGTCAGCCTCAAATGAGTACCCGGTGCGATGTAGTTAAAACATCCCCAGTCTGGAGTCAAAGGTGGCCGGGCATGTTGTTGGCTACCCCACCCCTTTGTGTGCCGTGCCGGCCTTCATAGGTGCCTCACTGACAGTACTTGCCCCGACAATTTGTTGGGTCAAGTGCTCAAGCATGGAGATGACAATTCAGGGATCGGGTTTGATTAAATTATTAACACTTCTCCGGGAAGTCAGTGGTGGTTGGTCTATTGACAGACATCTCTTCTGTCAGAGAATTATGGAATGTCTACCACTGGCTCAGAAAAGTAGAGATGAGAGAGGCCGGGCGGACGGGCGGGACCATTTTGAATTCCATAGAAAAGTCTTAATTTTGCTACCGGCGGTTTGTGACGAGAAAATGTCAACGACAGTTACGATGTATATGTTGTGGGTATAAACGTGGAGCGAGACTTCTCTTTCGGAGGCAACGCGTTTATTTCCATGAAGATAACAATACCAATAGCCGTAACACTTGCGGCTATGGCCCCTGGAACACTACGGGGTACGGCCCCGTCACGCGACAAGCTAAGGGAGGGACATCCTCCCTTTAAGCGTGACCTACAGACTCCGGGCTACGCTCTGACGGGTCCTCCAGGAGCTAGGGGAGGCTAGACTGACCCGGCCTAGCCAGGCTACGGGTCCCACCGCTGGTCCCCGGCAACCCGGCTCTGACAAAAGCCTCGGTTGAAGGTCCCAGGGTGCTGGTCTAGTCTTCAGACGTCTTCGGGTCTTGAGTGGACAAACACTGCCGGTCCCGTTGAGAGGACCGGCTTTTATACACAAGTTGGGGCTCACCCCGCCCATAACCACACCTTCCCTCGAACCTTCCAGAAGTGTCTGGAAGGGTTGGGAATTAACCGTTGGCCCCTAGCCGCCACCCCTTGGGGGTCTGGGGTCTTTATCTCTGGTCACAGGGTACCCAGGGGGGTTTACCCCAGGTTAACCATCACCCCTCCCGCTCACTCTCTCGGCTGCCCCCTTGGTATGGCGCAACATGTACGTGCGGCGTCTGCCCATTGTTGTCCATGGGTACCGAAATGAATGCGGTTATCTGGTGTGTTTTTGGCCAGGAGTCTGGTATGGTTGAGTCCATGGAAATGGACTCTGGGGCAACGACTCTCTTTGATGATTTGGACAAGAGCGACTACAAGGCTGAGTTCCCGACTGACTTCATGGTATGTTTTAATTTTACAGTAGAACTCTGGATTATCCGTGTTATGGCTGGGAGGATGGCCGCGGATCAGTGAAAATTGTGGATAATCCACAAATATCCATTTTCCCGTGCATGTCTATGCCAAAAAACACTCATGTGGGCTTAAATTAGTGGTTTTTGAAGCATAACTTACGATATCGATTGTTACTCTTTTGATTCATAATGAATACTAACGATCGACCGATCGATGCGCGTGCTCAGTTACAACACTTTCCTGCTCCCGCGCAGAAGACTCGGCTCACTAAGTCGATAGCAGAGCCGTGCCAATCAACGTCAATCAAACTCCGCCCACTGTTGTAAATATATGCAACTACTGTACTGTAGAGGCACTCGCATGGATTTCTAATTAACCGGAGCACATATTTCTTCTGTTTAAGCACGTGACTTGTAATACACATTTACAAGATTAAGCAATGTATAGCTGTTTTTAGATTGCTCATTTGGTCTTAAGGGAAAATCTACAAATTGGACAAACCACACGCAGATAATCGAGAGTCTACTGTACAGTAAAAGCTTGGATTGCGAGTAACTTGGTCTGTGAGTGTTTATTAATTTGATAAACGAGCGAGGTCTTGCAATACGAGTAGTACGTGTGTACGCTTTGTCTGCCGAGCGTCACGTGATCACAACTGATATACGAGTGCTTTGGATTACAAACACGTTTTCGGAACGAATTATGCTTGCAATCCAAGGTTTTACTGTACTTGCTAAATTAAACTCACTATTTTCGGCTGAGGTAATGAGTGACTGCACAAAATGTGTTTTCTTTTATTAGGTCTATCACAGTTTTTATTTATCACGTGGCTTAATTGATTAACTCCTTCATTTAATTAAGAACTTTCTCCAATTCATTCTGACAGTGTCTTTATTCCTTTAGTGTCCTTTATTACCACAGATGGCCTCCGGGTTGGTATTGCATGTCGTAACATAATTGCAAAGGAAACCCCCCCATGATATTTAGATAAGTAATAACAACATTAGGTACTGCATTCAGACTTAATAAGAATTCACTAAATATTTACAATTAGATCTTTACAATCTAATAATAAATAACACACTACCGTACAGTTTAAACTTTGTCACGTACACTCACCGTGGAACGGCTGTGAAAAAAAAACTATAAACTATTTTTATTTTACGATTTAATGCCCACTCAGCTATAAATGATAGCCCGCCAAAGTGGCTTATGTGGAAACTTTATATCACCCAAATAATCTAGATCCACTTTTCTAATTTTGGAGGGAAAAACTTGATGACCCGGAGAAAAATACACGTGACCACAGGGAGAACATGCAAACTCCAAATATATACAGCCTCCAGGGTCGGGATCGAACCCACGACCTCCTGTATGCCAGGCGAGGTAGTTAACATTTCGCCACCGTACAAGTCTGAGGCTCACTGAACGCGTAGAGCCGCAGAGGTATCCCGACAGACTTTATGCATTTATTTTGTTCATAAGATAAAGTTAAAAGTAAAACTATATATCGAATTACTAACACCAAGGGAATGAGTATGGCATCAAAGTGTGCATTTTTGCCCAATTGCATATAAATACACAATCGGTCTCCTCCCAACAGCGTAATTGGTGTGGGAACAGTGTTCCTAATAGTTTGTTTTTCTCTATGTATTTATTTATTGACAGAATATCAGAATCTCTAATTATACTGGAGGAATGTGAGCGGCACAGTAGAAACCCCTCTTAACGCCATTAATTGGTTCCACGAAACCGGTCGTTAAGCGAGTATTGTAAATACGCGTTAAAGGCTTAATTCGTTCCGATAGCATCGAACATGACCCTTTTTCACTCGAAAAGCGTACTTTATAATATTTAAGCAATTTATATTAATGCATAAAGAGTCTTACAGCATTTTTACACATAATATTAAAGGGAACGCAGTTAATGAATGCATTAAATGATATTTACTGTGCCTAAAACAGCCCGTCGTTAGCAGGAGAATGGTCAGGAAGCAAAGGCATTGGGCTCTATGGAGGCCTGTTGTTAATTGATTAGTCGCTTACTATTATACACTAAACTACTATACACTGCACTACTTTACACTACACTACTATACACCACCCTACACTAATATAAACTACACTACTATACACCACACTACTATACACCACACTACTGTACACTACTATACACTGCACTACTATATACTACACTAATATACACTACACACTACTATACACTACACACTACTATACACTACACACTACTATACACTACACACTACTATACACTACACACTACTATACACTAAACACTACATTATATACTAATATACACTACATTATACACTACACATTGGGCTCTATGGAGGGCCGTCGTTAACGGGGGTTGTCGTTACGAGAGGGGTTCTACCGCAAAGCTCTTTTTCATAAATTTCGTACGTACCCACAATTCTGGCCTACTGGAAGTCCGGCTTGGAGGGCTTGTTATTGAAATTCTGTGCGGGTGGTGCATGGGAAGGAGATGTTTTCTCCCCTGGATACGGACCCGCTGGCTTCGGAGCCCAAGCCCAGTCCGGCGTCGGATAAACCCACGCAGACCAAAGAGGACAAGCCCCTTCGCAAGGAGAAGCCCCTGGACCCCATCTTCCCTCCCACGCACGAGCTGCCCCGCCACCTGCAGTACGCGCTGCACTTCCCCATTGTGCAGGTGAGCTGGAGATCGCGCTTGCACCAACGGTATGTGGTGATATTCTTGGTTCTTTCGGTAAAGTCACGTAGAAGGGAAATGATGAAATAATATAAATGTAAAACAATAAAAATTCTCACGACGTTTCGACTGCAACACAAGCGATCGTCTATAGGTGTGAAATCCACAGCAAGAAAATTTTACAAAAGTGGCGGATTTTCCTAAAGTCAGCACCACAGACAGCGATCTGGCAGTTGGCCAGATGGACGAGTCCATCTATGTTCTTGGTAAAGTCACGTAGAAGGGAAATAATAAAATAAAAAAAATAAAACATAATAAAATACAATTCTGTCTGAAAGGACGCTGTCTTTCCGACAGACCTGTTCTTCACCTGAGGACGGCTGCTTGCGTTGTGGCCGAAACGTCGTGAGAATTGTATTTTATTATGTTTTATTTTTATTATTTTCCTTCTACGTGACTTTACCAAAAGAACCAAGAAGATGAATCCCTGCAGTCACGAAAGCTTTACATCGAGAGTCCATCTATGTTCGGAAAAGAGGAGGGGGGAGCAGAAAATGGAATGTGGTCTGAAAGTCACCATAAGCGTGAATACAATCAATTAAGACCCGGAGTGGTTTTTCAAATCCTTCCAATGATTGCTAAGCCAGAATCCATCTTCTCGGTTGAAATTGTCTCTGTGTTTGTATATGTGAATAGCCTCATGAACGAACCTCTCATGGTAGCCAGATGGCTTACAAAGAACCTCTGTCTTGGAGAAATCAATGTCATGTGAGCCCACTGAATTATAACAGTGATCTGCCACGGCCAAGGTGTTGGTCCTTCCGTGTTTAAAATCAAACGATATGTGGTGAGCCACGCTGACCGTCCCTCCGCCACACTGTCCCTACACCACGTGTGTGTGTCTGTCCCACGCACGCAGGACGAGTCGTCAGTGCACGAGTGCAACCAGCGGCTGATTGTGCTGTACGGCGTGGGGCGGCAGCGAGACGAGGCGCGGCACCACATCAAGCGCATCACCCGCGACATCCTCAAGATCCTCAACAAGAAGAGCACGGCCGAGACCGGTGAGGGGGGGGGGGTTGCAGGGTGACCGGCACCGCCAGGGATCGCTAAGTTGTCTTGTGGTTGTTGTTGCTTGACTTGCATCCCACTGGGATATTTGCACAGGGTTGGTGTACGGTGATTTTTCTGCAATATTTTACTGTCTTTTCTTGGATTTTCTGTTTGCACATAGTCACTTTATGATATTTTATTGTTCATGTTTTTTTGTTTGTTGCGGTTGCACCCGATTCAAGAGCCGAATGGCTCACAGGGCTATACCTAATAAATGAACTTGAACTTTGAACTTTACCTGCGTCACACCGGGAATGTGGCTCTTTTGGACTGTGGCCCGTTTGTCTTTTTAAATCCTTTATATTAAGTTCGCTTGCTTGCTTGCGCGCTTACGACCGTGCAAATCTTTCGGTCGTTTTTAACCCACTTCCCGTGATCCAATCGAGCTGACATTTAGCACACAGACTCGTTGTGCGTGACAATTTATTTTCGTGAAAAATTTTTTCCAAAATTTTCCACTTCAACTACCAATGTGATAAAAATGAAACTCTTACTCAAGAAAAACAGAAATGAATAATAAAATAAAACCGATGCCACGCATATAAAGGATTTATAGTGAAAAACTTTGTTTTTACGGGTTAATTGAACACCTATCTCATCAACTGGCTTGTACGTACGTTTGCTGGCCTTCTTTCGCGCCGTACGTAGCCAATCGCAGGTGTTCAGGGGAAGGACAGTAAACTAAACACGTAAAGCCGTTCCAAAGAAATGAGTTTTCAATCTAGATTATTTAAAAGTGCATAGCTCCCAATGGCTTCCTAATATTGGAAGGAAGGGCGTTCCAGATGGCCGCAAAAGTGCATCTGAAAGCGCGCCATGCCGTGACTGTCTTTGTTCAATGGTTCGCCCAAGGCCGCTGCGAGGATTACGAGAATTTGTGTGATGGCTGGGCATGCCGATTCAACCAGCTTTTTAATGCTTTGTCATTTCTTTGGCTACGCTTTTTAGCATGACTGTGTGTTGTCAGATGGACATGTCTCATGACGTGAGCCGTGCATAACCACCATGTCATGCTTTGTCAGCTGGGCTGTGTCATGTCAGCTGGGTTGTATATTTTCAGCTTTTGTAACAGCTGGTTTGTGTCGTACCGAATTGGCTGTGCCTTGTCGCCCAAGCTGTGGTCTTGTCGGCCGGTACTGTGCAGCGTGGCGGATGTGAGCCGAAGTTGTGCCATTACAGGGGAGGAGAGTCAGAAGAGCAAGAGGAGTAAGCCGGAATCCTTTCCGACGCTTGAAGGCATCTTCTCTCGCTTCCAACAGCTCTCCTACTTCGACCAGCACCAGGTCACCTCGCAGGTACGCGCTGGCACAAGCACATGACACACATGGTGGCCAGCGGTGTGTACGAGTGGACATCTGTGGGACAGAGCTTTCTAGCTCATCAGATTCCTCCAGGATAAGTAAATATTCTAAATCTGATTCTCTCCGCAAATGGGGTTTAACCATTTTCGCATGCCAGTCATCAATAGGGTTACGGTTTGCAAAAACAAAGATCCCCATATTGAATCAGAATCTTGATTTAGACTGGAAGAATCCGATGAGCTATGAAGGGGTCGTGTCAGGAAGTTACGACAGCAAACAGTACAAAAACAAGATAGTTGTGCAAAGTATAGGAAAGCTAAGCAAGTGACTAAATATTGATATAAATTACAAATTTTATCTAGATTTGAAGCTTTCGTGACTGCAGGAATCCATGCTCTTTGGTTCTATCGGTAAAGTCCACGTAGGTATAAAATAAAATAAATACTTTCCACATCATCATGATGATGATTGCTTGTGTTGCAATCGAAACGTCGTGATTTATTTTATTTTAAACCTACGTGACTTTATCGAAAGAACCAAAGGGTACAAATTTTACTTCCTGGAAACAAGCTGGTGAGAGCCAGTCTGTTGAACAAGTCTTATTTCAGGAGGAGCGGAAGCTGGCACCCACACGCATGCACTCTCTAACGTGGGTGCATTATGCGGTGTTTGACAACACACTTCTTGAAACTTTTGGCCTGCCCAAAACGTCGTGTGTTATCCCGGCGCTGGTATTCATGAATCAAAGTCAAGCAATGACACACACAGATGGGATGAGTAGATGATTCTAACAGTCGATAGTTGCAGCTGCTGCAGAAGCCTGGTGCGCCATCTCGTGTCATTGTATTCTGAACTTTTTTGTTGGTTGTGTGCTTTTTTGTTTTGGTGCCACTTGTTAATTTGTTTTTTCATTTTTTACTTTGTTCTGTAGTGGGGTTTTCATTTGCTTGGTGTGTACGTGTGTGTGTGTGTACGTGTATGTGTGTCTACGTGTGGTGTGTGTGTGTGGGAGCGGTGGTGTAGCGGTTAGCGTGCTGCGCGATGAACCCGGTGACCCGAGTTCGATTCCCGCTCACGGCCAACACCAGTGACGATTATCTTAGCAGGTCCTGGGCCTTCCCTAGGTCGACTCAGCCTCAAATGTGTACCTAGTGTGGTGTATAAAAACATCGCCACTGGGCAGACAAAGGCGGACGGGCATGGTGCTGGCCACCTCGCTTTGCCATGCCGGCCGTCGTAGGTGCCACTTGCTAACGGCACTTGCCCCAACAGTCGTTCAGGCTATACGGGGATCTTTGTATTTGTTTGGTTTCTTTCACACCGTCCGTAGCCAACCACTTCTATATGGTATTTGCTCCTTATATGTAATTAATGTAGAGCGTTGTGGGATGCTCTCGGCATGAATGACGCATGTATATAAAATGTAAGTATTATTATTATTGTTGTTGTGTTCATCAGGTCGCCAGCAATGTGCTCGAGCAGATCACGAGCTTCGCATCGGGGACGTCATACCACCTGCCGCTGGTGCAGCACATCCAGTTCATCTTCGACATCATGGAGCACTCGCTCAACATCCACGGCCTCATCGACTTCGTCATCCAGGTGTTGCCCCCCCCCCTTCCTCCTCTTTGGCTGCCTGCTGAATTGCATTTTTTTACAAGAGCCCGAGCTACAAAGCCTGAACCCTAACAAGGGAAGGGGGCACAGAATTTCCGGTGATCCCGAATGAGCTGAGCGTGGTAGGGGGGACAGTCCCTGGGCACGGTTTTACTGCTTTCATGCGTCCCGCTGTATCTCCTGCAGCTGCTTTGAATGAGCTGAGCGTGGTAGAAGGGGGGACAGTCCCTGGGCACGGTTTTAATGCTTGCATGCGTTGTGCTGTGTCTCCTGCAGCTGCTGAATGAGTCGAGCGTGGTAGAAGGGGGGGTCGGTCCTTGGGCACGGTTCTACTGCTCTCATGCGTCCCGCTGTGTCTGCTGCAGCTGCTGAATGAGCTGAGCGTGGTAGAAGGGGGGGCATTCCCTGGGCATGGTTTTAACGCTCGCATGCGTCCCGCTGTGTCTGCTGCAGCTGCTGAATGAGCTGAGTGTGGTAGAAGGGGGGACAGTCCCTGGGCACGGTTTTAACGCTCGCATGCGTTCTACTGTGTCTCCTGCAGCTGCTGAATGAGCTGAGCGTAGTGGAGGCAGAGCTGCTGCTGAAGTCGTCGAGCCTGGCTGGGAGCTACACCACGGGGCTGTGCCTGTGCATCGTGGCTGTGCTGCGTCACTACCACGCCTGTCTGCTGCTCGGGCCGGACCAGACGGCGCAGGTGTTCGAGGGGTGAGAGGCTCCGCCACCACAGTCACAGTCTCTAGGCACCCGTACAGCCACGGTCAAGACGACCATCACACTTCCCGGCATGGCTGTCCGTACAGCCACGGTCAAGACGACCATCACACTCCCCGGCATGGCTGTCCGTACAACCACGGTCAAGACGACCATCACACTCCCCGGCAATGCTGTCCGTACAACCACGGTCAAGACGACCATCACACTCCCCAGCATGGCTGTCTGTACAGCCACGGTCAAGACGACCATCACACTCCCCGGCATGGCTGTCTGTACAGCCACGGTCATGACGACCATCACACTCCCCGGCATGGCTGTCCATACAACCACGGTCAAGACGACCATCACACTCCCCGGCAATGCTGTTCGTACAGCCACAGTCAAGACGACCATCACACTCCCCGGCAATGTTGTTCGTACAGCTACCGTCACCCATACAGCCACCGTCAGAACAACAATTTAAACCTCTTGTCACAGCTGCCCATACAGCTGCCATCACCCATGCTGGCGCTGTCATAGCCTCTATCATAGCTGTCCGTACAGCCACCATCACAGCTGCACACACAACCAAATAATATGAATGTTTACTTGCACGCTGGTTTAATCATTATCAGCAGGCCGTGCGGAGTGATGAATCCACGACCTCCTGTATACCAGGCGAGGTAGTAAACATCTCGCCACCGTGGCGCCCTTGTTGTCGTCATCGCCCTACTCACATTTGCACCTCGGCAGGTTGTGCGGCGTGGTGAAGCACGTGGCCAACCCTTCGGACTGCTCTTCCCCCGAGCGCTGCATTCTCGCGTACCTCTACGACCTGTGCGTGTCCTGCAGCCACCTCAAGAGCAAATTTGGGGACCTCTTAAGGTGAGAAGGGTGCAAGGCAGCTGTCGGCCCTGGCTTACTGTCGACGCCGCTGGTTTGGGACACTTTCCAACCAAGGGACTGGAGTTTGTATGTATGGATGTTGAACTTCTTTTGCGCCGTACGTAGCCAACCGTGCTCGTCGGAGATTGAGAAATGCACGTCTGAACAAGCCGTTGCCCAACACCGGTGTTTGACCCAGAGCCACACTAACCACCTGACAATTGTGGTATCTGATGTGGCCGTGATGGCGGTGGTGGTTGCAGCTGTTTTTGCTGATGCAGCAGTAGCTACTGACGAGAGCATCGGTTGTGGTGATTGTGGTGGCTTTGTATGGAGGTTGTGGTCGCTGTGATGGCTGTTGTGGCCGATGCAGCAGTCGGTGGAAACTGATATAGCATCGGTTATGGTGGTTGTAGTGACTGTGGTAGCTGTAGCTGTGGTGGTGGTGTCCGTTGCAGTAGTGGCTCGTGGCAGGCTGCGTTGGCGGTAGCATGTGACGGCCGTGGTGACGGTGTCACTCCCCGTGTTCGCAGTGGCGCCTGCTCCAAGGTGAAGCAAACCATCTACTGCAGCGTGACGCCCTCCACGTCCAACCTGCTGTGGGACCCCGAGTTCATGCAGGACTACATCGAGCACCCGGACACGCAGATCAACTACTCGCTGCTCGGCAAGGTGCTGCATGACAGCGCGGTCCACCGCTACAGCTTCGTGTGCAACGCGCTCATGCACATCTGCACGGGCCACCAGGATACGGATCGGTGAGTTCGCCGGGCGTATACCCCACCCGCCACCCTACCCTAGCCCGCATCGTTTCAGTAAAAGCTCATTCATTTGAGCGTTAAACCGATTACGATGAAAACCGCATAAAGTTCTGGGTGGGTGTGAAAACCACAAGCTTACGACAGGAGGAAGCTTTGGGGTGATAGAAATAAAGCCAGTCAAGGGTACCGTTACTGGGGTAGTAGGAGCAGCGGAGGGGTTGGAGTGATTTCCTATTGAGTTGTTTGATGTTTCATATCAGGATTAAGACTTTGGATGTATGTGTGTATGTTGAGCTTCTTTCGCACCGTACGTAGTCAACCGTACTAATCGGAGGTGCGGGGGAAGGACAACAAACTAAACGCAAAAAGGCAGTTCTAAAGAAATGAGTTTTCAATCTAGATTATTTTAAAGTGCATAGCTCCAGTGGCTTCCTAATATCGGAAGGAAGAGCGTTCCAGACGGCCGCAGAAGCGCATCTGAGCACGCGATGCGGTCACCGTCTTTGTAGCCAAATGGCGCTGTTGCTGCGAGGATGACCAAGAGTTCACGTGATGGTTGATGCTCCTTGACGAGATCAACAAGGTATTGTGGATCAGGCCTTGGTGCAAGTGTTTATAATGAGTTTGAACGGAGCCCTTTCGATTCAGGACTTGATAATTGTGATTGCAACTTATGGTTGGAAGGCCAATTGGACGACCCTTGGGGGGGGTGCGGGTTGATTGTACGTCGGTTGCTGTTCGCAAGGGAGTGGCCGTTACTGACAGGCCTCTGAAACGCGCGTCTGTTTTGGTTCGGTCTTCGTCGGCGTTCATTCGCGAAGGATAAACGACGTGGGGAACCTGTGCGCCGAGCTGACCGCGTGCTGCACCGCGCTGAGCTCCGAGTGGCTGGGGGTGCTCAAGGCCCTCTGCTGCTCCTCCAACCACGGCTGCGGCTTTAATGACCTCCTGTGCAGCGTTGACGTGAGTTGTTGACCCCTTTCCCGTTCCCGAGACGTCTGCAAGTTGCGGGGTGTGGGGGTCCCCCGTTGACCGCCGAATCTGGGAACGGGCGAGCGGCTCAGCGTTATTTTTATTTAGAGAGGCGTAGTAGCGCAGTTGTTTTTAAACGCGTTGTACTCGCCGCAGAGAACCGGAGCGACAAGACCGCACTGCACGATAGCTTGCGCCAAACTGTGCCACATGCCCTCCCGCATGGCCTTGTGGAAGCCTCGGTATGTCTTCCGACCTGAAGACGTACCGATTTTAGTTGATGAAACTGATGACGTACACGTACGTCATCGGAATGGACAAGGGTTCATTTATCTTTTTTTAATTTGTCACGTGAAGGGATACAGGGTTAATTATGTCAATGCAGTACTATACATGCTTAATGTGATTTTCAACCTCACGTCGTCCTGAGTTCGAATCCTGGCCCCGGCTTAACATGAGTGGCAAGTGATCTCTAAAAGTGCTGTCTCGTTCACCTTCCCGTATCAACCAGCGTTGTGAAGTAGATTCAAACAACTGTCACGGCCAACATCATAGGATCGCCTCCATCCAGCAGTTGTTGTTTTTGTTTTTATTCTCGTTGGCTGTTGTGATTGTCTAGTTTTCAAGGTAGGATACGTTTTTATTCTACTCGAGGGAAATATTTTCTGAGCAGTTAAAAAAGATATCGTTGCCCAAATCTTCGCAAATGCGATCTCTGCTATCCATCATGGCAAATCGATTGGAATCTTCCAATCAGAGGTCATGTGACTGCTTGAGATTGTGTGCTCTGTACACCACTCATTATGAATCAGACACTTTACCAAATCCTGTTTTTATGGGCCGGGCCGAACTCGCATCCGTCACTCTTTACCGCTGCCTTACCAAGTTTCTCACATTGAATGCATCGCCAGCGATTATAAAAAAAATATTTTTACGAAATGTTTCTTGGCCCTTTGGGGCTCTTGGTGTCGACTGCACTGCTCCTGTCTGGCCGTGCAGGTGAGCGACCTGTCATTCCACGACTCGCTAGCCACCTTCATCGCCATCCTCATCGCTCGCCAGAGCTTCTCGCTTGAGGACGTCATTCAGCACGTGGCGTTGCCGTCCCTCCTCGCCGGTGAGTGGTGCCCACTGGAGCCTCCCCCCCCCCCCCATAGCCAGTGCCTTGAAAATATCATCATGGCTAAACTAAACTATTTTTATTTTACCGGATAAGGCCATCTGAAAAATATAGCTCTTACACCATTGGAACCTCATTTGGCAGTAAAAAAAATATGATTATTGATTTTTTACCCTTCTATCTGGCAACAAAACTGACACCTTTTTTACAAGGAGTCATGTTTGCATAGACCACAATACGTGCAGCCATGATGCAAACAAAAAACATAACTCTGATAATATATGCACTGTCCTTGAAGTTGATTGGTCCACACCAAGGACAGTGCATATATTATCAGAGTTATGTTTTTTGTTTGCATTATGGCTGCAGATATTGTGGTCTATGCAAACATGACTCCTTGTAAATAAGGTGCCCGTTTTGTTGCCAGATAGAAGGGTAAAAACAATTATCATATATAGCTCTTTTTCAGAAGAGACCTGGCCACAAACGATGGCTTATCACGTGAAAATGTATAGCAGCCAAATACTCTTGGACGCACGTTGATCCTAAATGTGGAGAGAAAAAGCAGAGGACCCAGAGAAAAATCCACGTGAACACGCGGAGAACATGCAAACTCCAAATATATAGACGTCTTGATCCGGATCGAACCCACAACCTCCTGTGTGTACTGGGTGTGGTAGTCAACATTTTACCACCGTTGCCCCCCATTGCCGTTGATGCCACCACACCTCGTCAGCTCTTTACGCCCTCTGCCAGATCTCACAGATGTTTGCACAGGCAACCTGCAAGACCTACCCTCCTCACACATCCAACCGTCTGGTCTTAGGTTTTCCGCTTGGTCACCTGACACGTGGAGACACTTACCCTGCCATGTTCTATTTCAGTAGACTTCTGCTTTGCCCTTCACGAGCATGTTCTGCCAGTAGGGGGGGGGCGGTGGGGGGCGATGTTGCATTGTGGATTGTCTCATTTAAGAAATCGTCAATTTTATTCAGGATTTGGAAATTTGAAGCGTGACACGAGGCAATCCCGAACTACTCTTTTTTTTATCACAACTTCACGGAATATTTAACGCCCACCATGGTACAGACACCGCATATCTCAAGGTTACGACGCACACAGTATTAACCGGTGCGGCCGCCGGGCTTGAACCTCGAACATTTGCGGCGAGCAGCAAAGGCGACACCGCTTGGCCAAGTATGCGCTTTGTGATTGTTGTCCTTCTCCCGCACCTCCGATTAGCACGGTTGGCTACGTACGGTGCGAAAGAAGTTCAACATACCTACATAATACTCACACAGAGACCCATAGACTCACACAGAGACCCATAGACTCACACAGAGACCCATAGACTCACACAGAGACCCATAGACTCACACAGAGACCCATAGACTCACACAGAGACCCATAGACTCACACATAGACCCATAGACTCACACATAGATCCATAGACTCACACAGAGATCCATAGACTCACACAGAGATCCATAGACTCATACAGAGACCCATAGACTCACACAGAGATCCATAGACTCACACAGAGATCCATAGACTCACACAGAGACCCATAGACCCACACAGAGACCCGTAGACTCGCACAGAGACCCATAGACTCACACAGAGACACATAGACCCACACAGAGACCCATAGACCCACACAGAGACCCATAGACTCACACAGAGACCCATAGACTCACAGAGACCCATAGACTCACAGAGACCCATAGACTCACACGGAGACCCATAGACTCACACAGAGACCCACAGACTCACACAGTGACCCACAGACTCACACAGAGATTAATAGACTCACAGATACCAATATACTCGCACAGAGACCCATAGACTCACGCAGAGACTCATAGACTCACACAGAGACCCATAGACTCACACAGAGACCCATAGACTCACACAGAGACCCATAGACTCACACAGAGACCCATAGACTCACACAGAGACTCATAGACTCACACAGAGATTCATAGACTCACACAGAGATTCATAGACTCACACAGAGACTCATATACTCGCACAGAGATTTATAGACTCACACAGAGACCTATAGTTCATAGTCCTTCCCCCGCACCTCTGATTAGCACGGTTGGCTACGTACCGTGCAAAATTAGTTAAACATGCATATATATACACGTACGTGTCGTGTTTCCCCCATGCAGCTGTGTGCGGAGACTCCGACGCAGAACCTGGAGCTCGGCTCACCTGCCGTCTGCTGCTGCACCTCTTCAAAACTCCTCAGGTCACGCCGTCCACGCCGCCAGGAGGTGATGTCGCACCCGATGTTCGTGTAGCCGCCTGTGTTTTTACGCAACCGTGGCAATGTGGAATTTCCCGTCATCTGTAGCGCACTAAAATGTACATTGATAAACATGAGGAAGTCGAAACTGCTCGTCCTCGAGAGAGAGAGAGGACTGGCTTCCGTCGTAGCGGTGTGGAATGTCTGCTACTGGCTCGGGTTCACCAATAGAGGCGTGAGCACAGGCTCTGATGTTCGGTTGTGCACAGAAGAGACGCTTTGTCAGGAACCTCTTTTGTAAAGTGGTCATCGCGAGCAAGCGTTGCCCCTTTAACGCAACTCTTCCTCCCACCCCCCGCCCCCACCGCCTTCGCCCCCCTACCCAGGTAAGTCCAGCCCTGGCATCCGCTCATCGTGTGACCGGCATCTGCTGGCTGCGGCTCACAACAGCATCGAGGTGGGGGCTGTCTTCGCTGTGCTCAAGGCCATCCTCATGCTCGGTGAGACGCGGTCCCCTCACTAATGAACGGATCTGCCTGCTGTTCCGTAAAGTCGGAGGGGGGCGGGGCGAGCAGGCGGGGCTGGGGGAGTCCACAATAGCTCTCCAATACGAGTTAAATTTTAGAACAGAGTTGCATTGCTGTGTACGTACGTATGTACGTTGAACTTCTTTTGCGCCGTACGTAGCCAACCATGCTCATCGCAGTGAGGGAATCGCGCTATTAAAACTGGCCAGATTGCTCAAAGAGATATCAACCAGGAATAAATGGACTTTTTGCAAATATGCCCTGATAGATATAGATATACCCGTGAGCTTCCATGTTGTTAATCAAATGCTTCCAACGCTTTACGGAATCCATGCGCGTGCATGAGTTTTCGAGTACTCGCTGTGGAGACCTCTCATGTGATTTATTCTCACAACTCCTACGGCCATCGATGCCGCTAATTACTACAAATGCAGACCTCTGCTCATCTTCATCATCAACGCTCAATGGCCCCTCTGCGCCCTTGCGATTCCTTCCGTAGGCGACATGGATCTGGGCGGGCCAGGCCTGCACAGCTCGCACGGCGACGACGTGAGCGTGGCGAGCCTGCTGGCGCCGATCCGGGGTCTCGACGACGCAGCCGACGACGAGGTCTTGAGCGGCGGCGGCGCCGGCGGCGGTGCTGGTGCCGGCGGCCCCGGTAGCGGCAAGGGGGCCCGGCCGGGCGGCCGCGTCACCGCCATCGAGACGGCGAGCCTCAGCGAGTACGCCAAGTTCGCGCTCAAGACCATCTGCCAGCAGGTGCTGCCCCAGCGACTGCACACGCGCACGCACGACACAAAGACAACGACGCACACGAGGACCAATCGCTTTCGAACGCACCGTTCGCTTTGAGTATCCTCGCCTGCCGAGTCTGTAGGCATCCACTAACGACAGTGGAGAATCCTTCGGCGTCCCGGCTTTCCGTCTCGTTGTTGTGAGCCTGCTCTGGTCTGGGCTGCCGTGGCCTGGGCTGTCCGTGCGTCCTCAGGAGTGGGTGGGCGAGCGCTGCCTGAAGGAGCCCGAGTCGCTGCGCGACGACAAGGACCTGCTGCTGGACCCCGTGCTCTCCAACAAGCAGGCGCAGCACCTGCTGCAGCTCATATGCTACCCCCACGGGCTGCCCGACGCGCAGGACTCGGACAACCCGCAGAGGCAGCGCATCAAGCGCATACTGCAGGTCGGCACGAGCTCACGCATCACAACAACAACAACAACCACCATTCGACACGTGAGTGCCGGTTGACGTCACCACGGAGCTCTTGCCAGGCCAGGTGCGCTTTAAGGCGACGTGAAGCGTCGAACGCCCACTGGCGGGAGATCACGGGACAGACCCAGGTGCCACGCGTGCACACACACACACAAAAACGAAGGTCCCATGTATACCCTGTAACAGACTGTTGGAGCAGGTGCTGTTCGTAAGCTCCTATGAAGGCCAGTACGATACACGAGGGGGTGGGTGGCCAGCACCACGCCTTTGTCTCCCCAGTGGCAATGTTTTTAAACACCGCACCAGGTGCTCATTTGAGGCTGAGTCGACCACGGGGAGGCCCAGGACCGATTCAGATAATAGTCACTGGTGTTGGACGTGAGCGGGAATCAAACTCGGGTCGCCGGGTTAATTCCGCTGTGCGCTAACCACTACAAACATTTCGATTTAAAGCTTTCGTGACTGCAGGGATTCATCTTCTTAGTTCTTTCGGTAAAGTCACGTAGAAGAGATATAATAAAATAATGAAATTAAAACATAATAAAATACAATTCTCACTACACACAAACTTGCATAGGCACACAAAGTATAGGCCTATACAGGCGGTTTTGGCAATTGCTATTGGCGACACCTATGATCGCCAGCATGGCAGACGAGGGGGTGGGTGGTCAATACTGTGCCCTGCCGACTTTATCTTCTCAGTGCTGATGTATACACTCTGCACCAGGTACTAATTTAAGGCTGAGTCGATCTAGGGGAAGCTTCGGACCATGTTCGGATATGAGTCACAGATATTGGACGTGAGTTGGAATCGAACTCGGGTTTCTGGTTTGTAGCACAGTCATAGGCTAACCACTACACTTCCACTCCCTGGACTGCATACGTCAGCTGTGGCCATCTGGGTTCTTGAACTGGGCAATTAGTTAATTGAATCTTCTTGGTTCTTTCGGTAAAGTCACGTAGAAGGGAAATAATAAAATAATAATAAAAACATAATAAAATACAATTCTCACGACGTTTCGGCCACAACACAAGCAGCCGTCCTCAGGTGAAGAACAGGTCTGTCAGAATGAGCACCACCAAGCGTCTGAATGAGCCCCACCAAGCTTGGTGGTGCTCATTCAGATGCTGTCTTTCCGACAGCCCTGTTCTTCACCCGAGGATGGCTGCTTGCGTTGTGGCCGAAACGTCGTGAGAATTGTATTATTTTATTATGTTTTATTTTTATTATTTTATTATTTCCCTTCTACGTGACTTTACCGAAAGAACCAAGAAGATTAATCCCTGCAGTCACGAAAGCTTTAAATCGAAATTTAGTTAATAGAAGTGATCCATTACTCTCCCGAATATCCGTCCAATTCCTCGACTAATCGGGTAAACATGAAAATAGGTAAATGTTCAGCCCTGCTAATGCTTCCTTACACCGCTTCTGAGAGTATTTGGCCTACTCTTCCACGCTGGACAGACACCACTTTCTGCCCTCTGATCATGCAGCCAGTTGATGGCGTCTTATCCGTTTGTGTCTAACACTGCGATGTTTTTTTTTGTCGACAGCACCTAGACCAGTGGACGCTCAGGCAGTCGTGGTTGGAGCTGCAGCTGATGATCAAGCAGTGTCACAACTCCGTAAGTTCACATTAAGCTGGGATATGAAATGGTTAAAAACATATATTTTTGAAAAACTCCTTCAGGTGCCCGTCATTTTAGTTACGTAAAAATGTAGAAAGTAAAAAAAAATTACCTCCTCGCTTTTTTGGACAGAAAACAGTGTTTACCGCACATTGTGTTTTTGGTTTTGTTTCTGTGTGGTTCTCCAATATGTATTTGGGTTGTGCCGTGTGCTGTTTGACATGATGTCCAACGTTTTCGCTCCTCTTCCTGTAAAAGTTCCCTGCTATCAGAGGACTATAACCGTCTTTGTCATTAAATTAAGCCACTTTCGCAGTACATGTTAGGTTATAACTATGCCTACGTTGTAGAACGAATATTATGTGCGCCTTTAAGTAACTCCAAAATTGTATCATTGTTGTTGGTTTGCGTAAGACCCTAACACACCGTCATAAATGTGCGCGTCCAGGAAATGAACAACCTCCTGGAGAACATAGCCAAGGTGACCATCGAGGTTTTCCAGCAGTCGGCCGAGATGAACAGCTCCTCCAACCTCATGTCGCTCGGCCTTCTGGGACACGGAGGGGGCGGCCCTGGCACAGGTGTCGGCAGCAGCGATGCTGCGCAGAACGCAGCCGCGGCCGCCAAGAAGAAGCCCTTCCTCAGGTCGGGGCCCGGCCACATCTGTCGGCGATGCTTGGCGGCTGCGTGGCAGAGCAGCTGCGGCGCGTTCGCCGCTATAGTTGTGGAGGTCCACGGTTCGGTTCCCCGGTGGCTGCCCTAGTTAATGCTAAAATAAAAATTAATAAAAGTAAAATAAAAATCACGACGTTTCGTTTCGGACAGCTATCGTGCTGTGACGTTTCCACCTGAAGACGGAGGCTTGTGTTGCCTCCGAAACGTCGTGATTTTTTTTTACTTTTATTAATTTTAATTTTTTACCTACGTGACTTTACCGAAAAAACCCAAGAATATGAATCCTTGCAGTCACGAAAGCTTCAAATCTAGAACTAGTTAATGCTATCGGTTCGGTGACCGTAAAATAACCGCCGTCTGCTTCGCGGTGGATATCATTTAAAAAATCACAATTTGGTGAATCACGACGGGAAAATTACTTGACTTGGGAAAAAACGCATCGCAACATGGCCTCCCCCGGACTGGTAGTCTAATGCCCACTTGCTGGCTGGTGCTGCGTTCACTTCGTGCCTCTTACAGGCGGCTAGCAACTGGCATTGTAACCATTACAATGCAAGGCATTGTAACGGCTGAGATGACATGTAAGGCGCTTTGAGTTGCCACATGGATACAAATTGTTATCCAACTAGCCGACTTGAAATTTCTGTCGGTAGGGTAATGGCTGTGCGCACGATTCTTTAATGGGTGGCTGGAAAAAAGGGTTAGGGCAGATCTTGGAGGTCGCGTGCCGATGCCAGATCCTGCAGAGTGCAGAGAGCGTTGTCAAGGTGCGGTGGCACAAACAGCTTTAGCCACGGTAACATAATTTTAGTTTTTGTTCATTACAACTCAACGCGAGCCCAGTACAAAGCGCCAATCACAGGGGGGAACAGAAACTCCGTAAACAGCGGCCAGATTTCGAGACGACAGGGCTCTGTCGTGCCGAAATCTGGGCTCGCTGCCCCACCCATGTGGGAACCACGGTGCAGAGACATAAAGGTTTATATGGGGAGGGCCCAAAGTAACGTTTCAAACATGTATATTTTTACAAAGTTGCTGCGGTACACAAGGCCCAAAATGTCAGTCGGAAACAAAACAGCACTGTAAAACAGGCATTCAACAGGCGTCAACACGGTTCTTTAACTGAGCAAGGTTAATCGGAGCATGGGGGGAAAAAGACGATCGGAAGGAATTCCGGTGCGAGGGAAGAAGGCGAAACGTTCAGCGACATTGATCGTGAAGGGACCGCATTATTTTTGTTGTTGCGAGCAGCTCGTCGGAGCGCAAGGGCGTGTGGCTGGTGGCGCCGCTCATCGCGAAGCTGCCCAGCTCGGTGCAGGGCCGCGTGCTCAAGGCGGCCGGAGAGGAGCTGGAGAAGGGCCAGCACCTCGGCTCCTCCTCCAAGAAGGAGCGCGACCGACAGAAACAGAAGAGGTACGCGAGCGCGCACGTGTGTGTGTGTGTGGGGAGCGGTAGTGTCGTGGTGAGCGCACTGCGCTACGAACCTGGCGAAACCGGGTTCGAGTCCCACTCACGGCCAACACCAGTGACGATGATTTGAAAGCGGTCCTGGGCCTCCCCTTAGGTCGACTCGGCCTCAAATGAGTACCTGGTGCGATGTGTAAACATCGCCGCGAGGGAGACAAAGTCAACCGGGCGTGGTTTTGACCGCCCACCCCCTCGCGTGCTGTGCTGGCCTTTATAGGTGCTCGCTAACAGCACTTGCCCCTACAGTCTTAAGGATATACGGGGGATCTTTGTCTTTGTGTCGATCGTCAGTTAACAAGTGTGGGGAATGGTGGTGCAGTGGTTAGCGCGCCGCGAATCCGGCGACCTGAGTTCCAATCCCGCTCACGACAAATAACAGTGGCGAATATTTGAACCGGTCTTGGGCCTCCCCCTAGATCAACTCGGCCTCAAATGTGTATCTAGCGTGGTGTTTCATCATCAGCACTGCGGAGATAAATGCGACTGGGCGTGGTGCTAACTACATCGCCCCCCTAGTGTGCCGTGCTGGCCTTCATAGGTGCTCGCAAACAGCAGCTACGCCGACAGTCTGTTATACGCTATTTGGGGGAGAAGTAGGATACTGTCGACCAAGACTCCACCACTTGGTGAGAAGCCAACAGGCCGTTTATGCCGAGCAAGAATGGACCTGACCCTGCTATGGGCGTTTCAGGCTCGGGACCAGTGATGTCTTCGAGATACGTTAACGTTCTAAGCTTTCAACGTTTGTTGGAAAGGGTTAAAAATGGCATCGACGTATTTGTGGGTTTCTCTCCCATTTGGTGCATGTGGGCAATGGGCGCCGTTGGGGTCTTTGTGCGATTTTGGCCGAGGCCCATTGCCCTATCACCGATACGTGAACAAAGACGGTGACCGCATCGTGCGTTCAGATGCGCTTCTGCGGCCGTCTGGAACGCTCTTCCTTCCGATATTAGGAAGCCACTGGAGCTATGCACTTGAAAATAATCAAGATTGAAAACTCATTTCTTTAGAACTGCCTTTTTGCGCTTACTTTGATGTCCTTCCCCCGCACCTCCGATTAGCACGGTTGGCTACGTACGGTGCGACATAAGTTCTTCGTACACACACACACACGAGCATGGAGGGGTGGGCAGGGGCAGAGGGCAATAAAGAGTGAGACGTGTGCGTGTCTGCGCGCGCGATGTCTCCCCCGCAGCATGTCACTATTGAGCCAGCAGCCCTTCCTGTCGCTGGTGCTCACCTGTCTGAAGGGCCAGGATGAGCAGAGGGAGAGCCTCCTCACGTCTCTGCAGAACCAAGTCAACCAGGTGAATTAACCATTAGAATGATAATTGTGAGAAGCGTCATCAGCGGGCACGATAATAAAACAATTGTGAAGCACTCTTTGGTTCTTTCGGTAAAGTCACAGTATAAAGATAAAATAATAAATTAAATACTAGCATACGACGTTTCGATTGCAACACAAGCAATCATCGTCAGGTATAAATGAAATAGAAACACAAATCCTACCTGGTTGATTACATTCTTCCTGAGAATGTAATCAACCAGGTAGGGTGTTGACTGTTATTCGACTCTCTGTTGTATTACATTCCATTTCTAAGTATACTAGATTTGTGTTTCTATTGTGTTTCTATTTCATTTATACCTGATGATGATTGCTTGTGTTGCAATCGAAACGTCGTATGCTAGTATTTAATTTATTATTTTATCTTTATACGTGACTTTACCGAAAGAACCAAAGAGTAATTCCTGCAGTCACGAAAGCTCCAAATTAAAATTGTGAAGCATTTAATTAAATAAATATTCTCGCCACTATCGATTAAGTCATGTGTTGTCAAGCTGCCTCTATATCCCCTGCTTCTGAATCTTTAAAATGTGCCAGATGTTGAATTGTTGACCAAAAGTGAAAGGAGAGGCCTTTCCGATTTAAACCCAGCCATTTTAATCCGAGCTAAACACGTCGCGCGGATGCTCTTTCGTGCCCGCCGCTTACACGTGCGCGCATGTTTTGCCGACGCTTGCACGTGGCCGATCCCCTCCCGCAGATCGTGAGCAACTGGCAGGAGGAGCGATACCAGGACGACATGAAGGCTCGGCAGATGATGCACGAGGCGTTGCAGCTTCGTCTCAACCTGGTACGACGGGGGACACCCTTCACCGTTAGCATCAGCGTGACCTTTCTGTGGTCAGGCCCCCCACCCCTCCATACGCGAGCAGCTTTATGCCATTTTCATCTCCGTACGGTGTAGCTGCTTCCAATGCGTGTTTGCGGGGCGGCAGGGGTGGCGCAGTGTTAACTCTCGTGCCTCCAAGGTTAAGAAGAGGGCCTGAGTTCAATTCTTGACTCGGATTCCTTTCTGTTTGGGGTTTGTACGTTCTGCCACTAGTCTGCATGCGTTTGCTCTGTTTGCCAGTTTCCCCCCATAGCACGAGACCGTGCAATGCACGGGTAATTGGTATTGGTCAAAAGATAGCAGTGCAAAAAAATTTACCTGCAAATTGCTCAATCGGCACGACACGTATCGACATTGAACTCTACTGCAAAATGTCTTGAGACTCAAAAAATGTTACTTAAAGCCACTGGCTGATGCACTTTCTCATGCACAGCCCCTGCAGCCTAGAATACCTTCCCACTCCACATCCGACAAATCAGCTCCATTGCAGCGTTGTTCAAATCCTCAACCGATGGCCTTTTTGTTACACGCTTTTATTTAACTCACTTCGTCTGTTGAATCCTCAAAAAATAAATATTGTAACTAAATTTTTACACACTTCCCAATGTGCTATCGACTGCAAACTTCGTATAGGTATGTCATACTGATGACAACACGATATTCTATCATAAAAAATCAAAAATATATATTTTAAAACTTTTTACACGCTTTTATTTAACTTACTGTATGTGTTATCGTATCCAAAAATCTTGTAACTCAATTTCAGCCGTTTTCCCAATGTCCTATCGACTGAAAATTTCGTATAGCTGTGTCATACTGATGACAATACTATATTTATCATAAAATATACATATATTTTAAACAATATTTTTAATGGCTCTAATTGTCCGCGCTCAACTGACGTTGCCTGTAAATCACCACGGTCCCTTACGTCACGGCAAGCCTCAGGGAGCCACGCCCAGGGGCGGGGGGGGGGGTGTGGAAGGACGGGAGGGGCGATGGGGGAAGGGGGCAGGGGGAGGTGCAGCTCAGACAGTAGATTTCATTAAAGCGTGTTTTTTTTTATCTTTTATTCATCTGGCACACGCTGAAAAATAGGAAATCACTTTTTGGACATTGGACCGATTGATGTAAATTTATCATAATTGTTTTTGGCACTCCCACCACCACCACCCCTTATAGAAGGTTTCCTGGCTTGGTTGGGAAGTTGGGGTTTGTTTTCTGGGATGTGTGGTCGACCTCGTGGATTAATTCCTTTGTTGTGATAACGTTGTTGTTGATAATTGGTTCTTTACCCTTCTATCTGGCAACAAAACTGACACCTTTTTGCAAGGAGTCATGTTTGCATAGACCGCAATACCTGCAGTCATAAATACAAACAAAAACATAACTCTGATAATGTGCACTGTCCTTGAAGTTGATTGGTCCACACCCGAGACAGCTTTCCTTCGAGCCTAGTCTCATATGGGTTGGACCAGATGACGCCAAAAGTGCGCCTTTTGGCGTCATCTGGTCCAACCCATATGAGACTAGGCTCGAAGGAAAGCTGTCTCGGGTGTGGACCAATCAACTTCAAGGACAGTGCACATTATCAGAGTTATGTTTTTGTTTGTATTTATGACTGCAGGTATTGCGGTCTATGCAAACATGACTCCTTGCAAAAAGGTGTCAGTTTTGTTGCCAGATAGAAGGGTAAAGAACCAATTATCATATTTTTTACTGGCAAATGAGGTCCCCATAGTGTGAACGTTGTTGTTGTTGTTGTTTGTGCTTTATTGTTTCGGTGCCATTTCTTAATTTGTTAATACTTTTTTATTCCTTTGCTCTGTCGTGATAGGGTTTTCATTCGCTTGGTAGTGGCTGTATATGGGACTTTAGTCTTTATACAGGGTGTCCCATGAGTCTGGAATCATAGGAAAACACAGCTCTGTGTTATTGGCTCACGGCCTGGATGCAGTCTGTTAAATTCAACAGCGACCTCCCTCCTAGGAGTAGAATTATCTGGACTCGTTCTTCCTTACTCGGAGACATCTTGAGCCTGCAGAAACAACACAAAGTCTGAATTTGTTATTTTCCCTATGAATCCAGACGTATGGGCCACCCTGTGTATCATTGGTGGCCAGGCCGCTTCTGAAAGAGAGCTAAATACAGGCAGTCCTCTGCTTACGATAGAGATGCGTTACGACGACTCCATCGTAAGTCAAAAATATCGTAAATCGAAGATGGCCTAGTCTACCCAGGAGTCTTAAAGAATGGTGATAATTTAGCAAAACAGAGCAATTTACAGTACCGTACTGTATAAACTATATACTGTATTTATGAATTACAATACTGTATTGCACAGTAAAATGTAAAGTAAAAAAACAAGGTAAAATCTTAGCCTACCTATATGAACTGCAATTTAATAGATAGTTTTCTCAAGAAACAATCCTTTCTGCTATAAAAACTTTTAACATGCATTGAACGTATCGTATCGTGGTAACCCTAAAATGAAATCGCTAAAGCTACGTATCACACATGCATTGAACGTATCGTAACATATCATATTGTACTGTACTCACCAATATTCTGTCCGTCGTCTGCATACTTGAACGATGTTAGGTTGTTGATGGCAATTTTGTCGTATCGCCATCGTAAGATCGAAATATCGTAAGTCGGACCATCGTAACTCGGGGACTACCTGTAGTTCAAGTGGGCCTTAATGTACAGCGTTATGGGATGCTACTAGCATGAATGATGCCGTATAAAATGAAGGTATTATTATTGTTCATTCATAATGATGGTGAAATGTACCGGTCCGTCTTAACCCCACCCACGCCACCGAAATCCCACTTGTCGCTGGCACCACCGTGCAGGTCGGAGGGATGTTCGACACGGTCCAGCGCAGCTCGCAGTGCACGACCGAGTGGGCAGTGCTGCTGCTGCAGATCGTCAGCACGGGCACCGTAGATGTACAGACCAACAAGTGAGTCGTGGCCACGCATCCCATTACTTCCCTCCCTGCTGTATTTTGCCAGCTGTTGTTGTGATGTGTAGATACTCACACTTTTGTTATGTATGCCATGTGTTAGTTACAAACCGCACCTCTCCATAACAAAGGCTCAGTCCTTTGTTATGCAATCTACTCTTGGTCTTAAGCCTCACCTTACCATATTAATAAAAAAGTGTGCCGTTCCTGGCCCTTCCCCCCTCAACCATTATATATACGGGGTAGTATTTCTTGCGATCTCTCATTTACTTGATACAGCTGTCGTGGCTGTGACGGTTCCACCTGAAGACGGAGGCTTGTGTTGCTTCCGAAACGTCGTGAATTTTTTAATTTGTTTTATTTTACTTTTATTAATTTACATTTTTTTTTTACCTACGTGACTTTACCGAAAAAACCTAAGAGTATGAATCCTTGCAGTCACGAAAGCTTCAAATCTAGAATAGATACCCACCATTATTGTATATTCTCATTCAGCCCCGCGGTAAGGCAAAGGTTCTGCACTCGTGTTTTAACGGCCTGCACGCGCGGCTTGTCCGCACGTTGGGCGGTGTGCGCGCGCGACGACAGTGAGCTCTTCACGACGGTGCTCGACATGATCGGTGTGCTCATCAACGGCACGCTGGCCTCGGACCTGTCGAGCATCTCGCAGGGCATCATGGAGGAGAACAAGCGCGCCTACATGAACCTTGTCAAGAAGCTGAAGGTGAGCGCCGCCGCCGGCGTTAACAACGTCGCCTGGTATGCAGGAGGTCGTGGGTTCGATCCCGACCATAACGACGCCTGCTGTATATTTGGAGTTTGGGTGTCTCTCCCCGTGGTCATGTGGGTTTTTCTCCGGGTCCTCCGGGTTTTCCCTGCGCATTTAGAAACTTGAGTATTTGTTGTAAATTTCCACGTGATATGCCGTGGCTTTGTGCCGCATTACGCCTTTTGGCGTCATCTGGTCCAACACCAATGGAGACTAGGCTGTCTCGGGTGTGGACCAATCAACTTCACGGACAGTGCATATCATTATCAGAGTTGTTTCTTTTTGTTTGCATTTTGACTGCTTGTGTTGTGGTTATTGCAAACAATGATGTCTTGTATAAAGGTGTCAGTTTTTGTACCAGTTGAAAGGGTAAAAACCTATTACTATATTTTGCCACTGGTAAAGCAGGTCTCATTAACCACTTCGTTGAGTTATTATTTGTGATAGCCAGGTCTCTACTGAAAAAGAGCTATCCAGCTCAGTTGGCCTTACCTGGTAAAATAAAAACTTGAGTTTAGTAAGTGCAAACAGATTCATGTTTCTCCGCACGCAAGGTTGCGACGTAAAATTCTAGTTTGTCATTGGCAAGGTCGTCGCATCCCTGGCTTGATCAATTTGCCAGTTGAGCCGAAGCATTACGAGTATAAAGACGATCCCTAAATAGTTTACCGTTTGTTCAACGGAGTGCATTTTAGTCGACGGATGTACAGTCGTAGTACAGGCATAGATGCAGAGAAGAAGGATGGGATCCTGAGCACAACCTACAAATATGAACAGGTTGGAATGACATTCCGTTACCTTGCACACCAAGGGGGACAATTTGAGAGGATGTGATCACAGAAAACTGGAACTTCATTTTGCCATGTGCATGTCGCGTTGCGCTGCCAAATATGCCACGGCTTTGTGCCACATTACCAGGTGTGGTCAGAAGGCCTCTATTTATCAATGCTTTGCAACTAAAGGTAGATTGACAGCGGAATCCATATGTTTGTTGCAGGATCCGTAGACGTAACATTGTGGTAATAGACACGCCGCTTCAAAGTGGTTCTTTATGCTCACAGCTCATGGAGCTATTGTTAAGCATCTGCTCACCACGTGTGCCTTACCCACTAACAGGGGTCGGCACCTGCGGCTCCGGAACCACATGCGGCTCTGTAAGGACTGCTGCTTGGTGACGGTATTCACATGCAATCGCCGCTCTTGAAATATTGATGAACATTTATTTATTCCCGAACTCGAAAAAATGTATCCTCTTGTTATTTTGGTTTTGCCGAACCCCTGTGCTAACAGAAGGAGCTGGGCGACAAGCGTTCGGAGAGCATCGACAAACTGCGCCAGCTGTTGCCGCTGCCCAAGCAAACGGTGGACATCATCACGTGCGAGCCCATGGGCTCCCTCATCGACACCAAGGGGAACAAGATCGCCGGCTTCGACTCCATCGACAAGAAGCAGGTTCGCCGGCCGCAGCACCACCCGGGCGAGAGGCAGAGCTTCCGATGTTAGGAAGGTGCTGGGAGCTGCGCACTTTTAAATCTCGATTAAAAACTCACTTGGTTTTTTCGGTAAAGTCACGTAGGTAAAAAATCACAACGTTTCGGGCGCAACACAAACCACTTAAGTGTTTGTGCTTTCGCTACATTGTCCCCACCTGAAGAAGGACGCTTGTGTTGTGCCCGAAACGTCGTGATTTAATTTAGTTGTTTTCATTTATTTTATTTTTTTACCTACGTGACTTTACCGAATAAACCAAAGAGTATGAATCCTTGCCGTCACGAAAGCTTCAAATCTAGAATAAAACTCACTTCTTTGGAACTGATTTTTTCGTTTAGCTTGTTGTCCTTCCCCCTCACCTCCGAATGGCACGGTCGGCTCCGTACGGTGCGATCACACCCTCTCGTTGTGTGCGCCGTCACTTCCCCAGGGCCTGCAAGTGTCGACCAAGCAGAAGGTGTCTCCCTGGGACATGTTCGAGGGCCAGAAGAACCCGGCGCCGCTGTCGTGGGCGTGGTTCGGCGCGGCGCGAGTCGAGCGTCGAGCCCCACGATACGAAGAGCAGCACCGGCTGCTGCTCTACCACACGCACGCACATCCTCGCCCGCTCGCCTACTACCTGCACCCCATCCCGCTCCCTCCGGAGGTACGCGCCAAAAACTACCACACGCACGCACACCCTCGCTCGCTGGCCTACTACTACCTGCACCCCATCCCGCTCCCTCCGGAGGTAGGAAGCCAAAACACTATTGAGTATTTTTACCACGTAAGCCCCACTGTCACCCTTTGTCGTCATCATAGCTCCGACCAAGGCTCCACCACTCGGTATCTCAGTTGCTCAGTGGGCCTTACTTACTAAAAGAAAAGTAAATAATTTTTTTAATTAAAAATTACAGGCCCCATATTCGTAAACAAACCCCTGGGGGGGGGGGGGGACACGTGCGTTTCCACACTATGACATCACTGCTCCGACTATTAGACACGTCCTAAGCACGCCAGCTGCTGGGCTTGACCCTGTTGACTCTCCACGCGGAATGCACCGGCCCTCCCGGTTTCTGCCGTCCGCCGCAGGAGGTGGAGCCGCCGGCGCCTCCATCGGCGGGGCCAGTGGGGGGCGTGGACGGCGACCGCAAGCAGGCCGAAGCGTGCGTGGAGGCCACCAAGCCTCCCGAGGAGGACAAGAAGCCCAAGAACACGCGCAAGCGCAAAAAGCCGAGCCAGAAGGAGGCGAGACGCAGTGCAGTTCACGTCCCTTGCAGGGTGTCTCCGTTGGCCGAGTTCGATCGTTCGTTTGTTCGTTCGTTTGTTCGTTCGTTTGTTTGTTCAGTTCGTAGTCGTACGAGGTTGGTACATCGACCTTTCGATGACCGTCTTGCTTAAATACGCCCCGCAGTATTCACCAGGGCGGCCCGCTAGATTTGAACCGCGTCCCTCAGCAACATGCGACACGCATGCTACCACTTGGCCATGTAACTGCCCGTATAAAGTGTATACACACAAGCATGTCTCTAACATTGTTTGTTTGTATTTTTATCTTTCTTCAGGAGTACCCCCAGAACAGCTACAACCGGATGCAGCCATTCGGAACGATACCACCACCGCAGATGATACACACCACACACCCGCCCTACCAGGGCCTCAGCTACACCACTATGAACCAACCACTGCAGACCAATTACTACACTCCCAGCCAGCCACTTGCACCAGGTAGGCCAAGACACGGGTCCCTGCTGCATACAGGTTCTGTGCTGACGCATATTAAATATTGATTTGAAGCTTTCGTGACTGCAGGAATCCATGCTCTTTGGTTCTTCGGTAAAACAGACTGTTTGGAAACAGTCTGTCTCAGCAGCAGACCACACTTTCCCACCTGATGACGGACGCTTGTGTTGCGCCCGAAACGTCGTGATTTATTTTATTTTATACCTACGTGACTTTACCGAAAGAACCAAAGAGTAATCATATTAAATGCTTTAAAAGAAAGCGGCAGCTTTAGAGTACCGTATTATTATTTTTCGTTTGCATTCGGCGGTGGTTTATTTTTTTTATACTTTTTCACTCGAGGTTTAAAGCGTTTATGCATGAGCTCATGTCCGTCTGGAATGGGGGTTAGGGGATTTGGTGGGTTGGCACACTATAGCTCTCAAATAAATTTTAGTTTAAAGTTGTGTTGCTTTTAGGTATTCACTTGATTGAAAACCGGGCAAATTCATCAAAGTGTTTACCAACAATTCGAGAAAATGTTTTTTTTGGCAATTGCATTTTGCCCTAACGGCTACTCGTCTGCTTCCACTTTGTGAGTTATACATGTCCAAAGATTGAACGCACATTGGAAATCATCGCGCAATCTATTTATTTTTGTAACTGATCTTGCTAGGGTTTGCCCGCTCAACCAATTGGACAACACTAAAAATCTAACACACGAGTTTAGCGGGGTGTGTCTATGTATCTGTGGGGAGCCATAGTGTAGCGGTTAGCGCACTGCTACAAACCCAATGACCCGGGTTTGATTCCCGCTCACGGTCGACACCAGTGACGATCATCTGAACCGCACCTGATGCGGTGTGTAAACAGCCCCACTTAGGGAGACAAAAGGTGTTTGCCACCCACCTCTTCGAGTAACAGCATTTGCCCTAACAGCTTGCTGCAAGCTATACCGGGGGAGGGGGTAGGACGGTGGAACGTTTGTCTTTGTGGCTTCGACCATCAACCCCTGTCTGCACCGCAGGCGGACCACGGATAGACACGAGCCGGCAGTTCCCTGGCGCCAACACGAAGCAGCTGCTCACCGACATGCTGATGCGGCGAGGATCTCTTCCCCAGCCGCCAGGACCGGGACCCGGCATGGCTCCCCACCAACAGCAGGCACAGGCACAGAACCAGCAGCAGCAGCAGCAGCACCAGCAGCAGATGATGCACATGAAGATGATCCAGCGGCACACCTTAATGCGCCACCCGGCACAAATGAGGCCTTTTGCACAGGTGGTGCGTGTGTTTGCGTTTTTTAGGTGGTTTGGTTGTGTGCACGTGCGCGCGTGTGTGGACGCGTGCGTGTGTATGCGTGTGTGGACGCACGTGCACGTGTTTGCAAGTCTGTGTCTGTGTGTGCGCGCACGCTTCCGTGCGTGCTTGTGTGTGTGCGCATGTGTGTTTTTGTGCCTTAAATGAGTACCTTGTGCAGTGTGTAAACTTCAGCACAAGGGAGACAAAGGCGGCCGGGCATGGTGTTGGCCACCCACTCCCTCTTGTGCCGTGCTGGCCTTCATAAGTGCTAACAGCACTAGCATCTACAGTCTTTTAAGGCTATACAGGGGGTATTTTTTTCTGTGTGTGTGCATATATACACAAAGCAACTCGTGTTACACTACATTGATACCAGATATTTTATAACCGAAGCACTAAATCACGTCAAGCTGAAGCTAATAGGGCGCATTACGCGGACACGTGATTCGATCTGGTTCACACCAATCTTAACGGCCACCTGCTGTTATTTTTCAATCACCAACGGCTTTGTGTTTTTCGCCTTGCGCGTTGCCGCGCAAATCAAATGGATTAGATACCGGTCGCTCGGAGTCGCCACCTGGACTCGGAATGGGAACGCTGCTGGTCCTAGCGCTGACTCCAGTCCGTGGGGCCTAACAGACCCAGTGGGTTGGGCACAACCCACTGGGTGTGTTAGGCGCTTGCAGCGTCAGCTGTTGCCGACCGGAGCTGGTTAAGTGGGCCAGTCTCAAATCAAGATTGGGCCAATTTCGATTTAAAGCTTTCGTGACTGCAGGGATTCATCTTCTTGGTTCTTTCGGTAAAGTCACTGTAGAATGGAAATAATAAAATAATAAAAAATGAAACATATAAATAATGCTCAGGACGTTTCGGCCACAACGAACAGACCTGTTCTCCACCTGAGGACGGCTGCTTGCGTTGTGGCCGAAACGTCGTGAGAATTATTTTATTATGTTTTATTTTTATTATTTTATTATTTCCATTCTACGTGACTTTACCGAAAGAACCAAGAAGAAGATTAGGCCAGTCTGTTGGGCAGCGTTAGAGAATAAAAAGTTAATTTGAGAGTTAAGATTTTTTTTTTACGTGTCGGATCACACGACCAAGATGATTCATAAATATTTTTTTTAGGTAAGATTGTACCGTAGATATATCAATTAAATATATTCCTCCACAACCCACCGACCGAGTCGATCAAATCGAGTTGTCACGTGGGCGAAAATGCCAATTAGTTTGATTTATCGGCAAAACCGGAATCTTGCGGCTTCAAATTGCCCTTTACTTATGCTGGCCTACAGGTATCAATCTTCCGACACTCATTACAGTGAAGTGTTTTTATTATTTTTACGTGTCGCGTAAACGTTTGCGCTTGATCTGAAAACGAAATGAATTGCGCTGCGTTACACTCACCACCATGTAATGTACAACATCGTATATCCGACCATCGCATATCCACGCTGACCAATTAAGTGTCTAAATCCAGTGCATTATTTGTGCACGATGTAGTTGTCATCTACAGATGTTCACTTTATCCAACCTTTTTTAAATATAACTCTGCCTATTCCTCAGACCTCAGCGATTCAGATATGCGACGTTGTACTAATAGTGAAGTCCGTCACTTTAATTGCATTGTGCTTTTGTCCAAAATAACGCTTGTGACGTTTGTGTGGCTTTGGCGCGTCTTTGTTTCCCGCTAGCAGGGCCAGGCGATGGGCCAGGGAGGCATCTACTCGCAGCCCGTGCGGCAGCCGAACCCCCTCGCTCAGTACGGCGCAATGCAGCAGCCAGCTCAGGTTAGCCGCCAACGCTTGACTTCCTCGGAGTGCACCGAGTGAAAATAAATTATTTGGAGGGTGTGTGCGTGCGTCCGGGCCGTGTTGTCCAATTGACCACAGGCACTGTTCCTAGAGCCTATGAAAACAAGAAGGGCCTACGAAAACAATAATTTGACTAATTTTTGTCGTTTGTAAGATAAAAAATGTCACCAAGATATCTTCTTGAATAAATATTTATATCGCAAGGTTAGGCAACAGTGTGTATACAAAGAGGTAGAGTCATGTCAATGTCGATTGTTTTTTTTTTTCATAAGGTGAGAGAAATGAACACCGAAGATTAACTTTTCGTGTTTTTTTCATAGCGAAATTAGCAAGAACATCTTCAAATTATTTCTAGATTTGAACCTTTCGTGACTGCAAGGATTCATATTCTTAGGGTTTTTTTTTGGTAAAGTCACGTAGACTTTACTGAAAAAAAACCTAAGAATATCTTCAAATTATGTTTACGGCACAATCCCTTTCTCAGTAGAGAGTAGTTCGAGGGAAGAAGAGCGTTACCTTATCCTACGAAACAGAAGTGCCGAGAGCCCAACAAGAACCTTAATCCGGCCCTATCGTGCGTGCGTGCGTAAATAATAAAGGCGTGTACGACAGAAGAGTTTCAAATTCAACGTTTTGCACTGTTGGGTGTTTTCAACTTATGAGTTTGGGGCAATAATTTAACGGATCAGCTTGATGTCAAGTGACTACCACAGATGTAAAATTTTCAGATTAAATTTTGTGTCTAGGTCCGATTGTTGGATCTTTCGTATTAAGCCGAAAGTGGGAAATGACATTGGGGCGTGGGGGGGCGGGATTTGGATGCCCGTGAAACATTTTAAAATTTGGGAAATAAATAAAATAAAAACGTTGCTCCCGAAAATCAAAATTTTAACAGTGTACAAAGCAATGCTGGCTTGTTGTTAGCTTAGTTTTCATGCTCTGTCATACAGTAACTAATGTGGAATTGGCTTGTGAGTTTTCAGTGCTTTTTGTATTTTTGAAATATGATATCATAAAAAGCTGCAAGTTCAATTACTGGTTTTGGGTGTGACTCGTAAAATGCCAAACATCTTCCTTCCGAGGTCGATAAAATAACCTCCACTTTGTGTGGAAGTCAACAGTGCTTGTCCTATAAGCAGACTCGCCCCCACCATAGGAATGTGGAATTTCCATCACTTGCTCAGGGCAGTGAACAAAATATCACCAAGCACCGCCTGAATGTTAATAGGAGCAGGGAAATTACCTTGCTTGACTTATTTTTCCCTGCCGCATAGCGCTTGCCAATGTCTTTACACCTTCGTGACCTCCGGCCGCACAGGCAATGTCTCAGGGCTACGCCGCTTTCTCTGCGGGTGGCGGGCGGCGGCGGCGGCAACGGAGGCGCGGGGGCCGCCGGCGCCGGCGGGGCCCCCATGGCCGTGAGTGGGCAGCACGGTTCGCAGACGGCGCTCCTGTCGCCGGGCTACACGGGACAGCCCTACCAAGCGGGGCCCGCGCCAGGAGCCGGCATGGTGGACTCGCTGCGGCAGATCCAGCAGCAGCAGCAGCAACAGCAGCAGCAGCAACAGCAGCAACAACAACAACAACAGCAGCAGCAGCAACAGCAGCAGCCGAGTGGCTATGTACACCAGCAGGCCCCGGCTGCTTACCCCCGCAACCTACAGAACACACCCCGGTGAGGCCCTGTCCCATGAGGCTGTGGTCGTGGAATTGGGTGAAGGCCACCCCTTGTTGACACAACCGCTAGTTTTGGTGCCTTGCGGGTGTTTATGAAATAACTCATTCGTGTCTGCCTTGGAAGATGTCTTCGGTCTTGTCATCTCTGCCAGCCGAATGTAAAACGCGATGTAAATAGTGGCAGGATGCAGCAATGTAAAACATCCATATTTAATTTTTAACTGGCAAATGAGGTTCCAATGGTGTAAATACTTATCCCCGAGCTCTCATACTCTGATGGTGCATTGTCTTTGAGTTGTGCGCCTTTTGGCGTCATCTGGTCTAACCCATGTGAGACTCGGTTCTAAGGAAAGCTGTCTCGGGTGTGGACCAATCAACTTCAAGGACAGTGCACATTATCAGAGTTGTTTTTTTTGTTTGCATTATGGCTGCAGGTATTGTGGTCTATGCAAACATGACTCCTTGAAAAAAAGGTGTCAGTTTTGTTGCCAGATAGAAGGGTAAAAAACCAATTATCATCCATATTTAAGTTGCATAGAGTCCTCAAGTTCCTTTTGGCTGTGACCACACTTGTGTGTTTACCTGCGTCTCTCATTGCACCTTACCCCGCACTCATTGTTTCATTGTCCTTGCAGACTTTCACACCAGCCCATGCAGCAGGGTGGAATGCTGTCGAGCATAGAGCAGGTGCCGACCGGCCCAATGCATTCTGGCATGGCGCAGATGACACCGGAGATGCGGCACAGGATGCAACAGCAGCAGCAACAGCAGCAGCAACAGCAGCAGCAACAACAACAGCAGCAGCAACAGCAACAACAGAGGATCATACAGGTTATATATACACAAATTAATGTTTGGAACGCTCACAGCTGTGTATGTATGTTGAACTTCTTTCGCACCGTACGTAGCCAACCGTGCTAATCGGAGGTGTGGGATATCTAGCAGTGGCCCTGAAAGATTATATCTTTGTGCTACTTCAGCCATCTGGAACGCTCTTCTGAAATTAGGAAGCCACTGGAGCTATGCACTTTTTAATCTTGCTTGTAAACTAATTTATTTAAAATTGCTTTTGGCGTTTAGTTTTTTGTCCTTCCCCCGGCACCTCCGATTAGCAAGGTTGGCTATGTACGGCGCGATATAAGTTCAACGTCCACACACAGATATCACAGACCTCTTTCTTTGAAAGCCGCTTTAATAGACCTCTTCACACTCAAAGCACACCTAGTGTGTTCTGTCACTCGTCAAAATGAGCAATTTTGATTCTCACAGCTTGAAAATTTTACAAAAGCTAAAATCTAAACTGAACGCGGTGGGGTTCTTGCGCAGTCGTGGCCGCTTTAGAATTCTCAGACTTTAAAGACCATCACCTCGCTGCACTTGAGAAGAACCCAGTTTGATCACAGGCAGCTGCCTGGGTTCAAGCCCATGTGATCTCGGTGGGCCTGACCCCAGTGCTCTTGACTCCTGAGCAACTGACGGCTTAATGTTTATGGGTTGTGTATTTTAAATTATTGTTCTTAAGTGAGAGCGCACGCCGCTTACTATGAAACCCAGCAACGTGAGTTTGATTTCCTGGCCCATGGTCGACATCGGTGACGATTATCTGAACCAGCCCTGGGCCTCCCCTAGGTTGACTTAACCTTCAATGAGTAACTGTTGCTGAGTGTAAACATCAGCAGCGTGGAGACAAAGGCGACCGGGCTTGGCGTTTGCATTACCACCAGTTTGTGCGCCGTGCCGGCCTTCATTGGTGCTTGCTAACAGCACTTACCCCAACAGTCTATGTAGGCAACATGGGGGATCTTTGTCTTTCTAGTTTTTGTACATTTCGAAACGTGCGTTTAGATTATTTGGCCGCTATAAATTTCCACCTGATGGTGAGCCACCTTCGTTGAGCTATCATTTGTGGCGAGGTCGCTTCTGACAAAAAGCGATGTCCAGTTCAGTGGGCCCCCCCTTTACCTGGTAAAAAATAAAATAAAAAAGTGTTTTTTTCCTTGAAATAGTTGAATAGTTTTTGCCTTTTTTATATGCCTGTGTGTGTGTGTGTGTTGGCGTCGCTTGTGTGAGGACAGCTTCCGCAACAGCAGGCTCCTCAGCCGGCACAGCAGCCCCCCATGGGCATGCAGCCCATTCAGCAACAGCAAACAATGGTGAGAGTGGACGGTCGACATGAGGTTCAGTGTTTCCTTTCCGCCAACCACTGCTACAGCGCCAGCTTGCCCACACCTGAACGTGCGATCGTGATTGGAATTAATTGTGGCGGTTGCAGTGGGTTCCGCGCACTGCGCTCTAAACCTAGTGACCCTGCGTTTGATTACTGGGCATCTGTGGAAAAATTGCTTTGTAGCTCGTCAGATTCAAAGAGTATGACTAAATATTCTGATTCGTTTACCAGCAATGCTCTGAGTGATGCGTGACGTATGAACCGGTCTTAACCCCCCCCCACTACCGGCCTTCACAAATCTGTATTGACCAGCGTGGTGAAGTATGGTCAAACAAACCCCCATGACCAACATGGCGTGGGGAGGTGTTCGACCAGCAGGGGATTATTATTAGGATCGACAAACGGCTGTACATTTTGTTTTTATTGTGTTAACTTAATATCAAATTTGTATTCACTTTGATAAAATGTGTTTTTGATAAGTAGTATATTTCAGCCTAGGGCTTTTTTTACCCCTTTTTCCACTGGCTCATCCGAGCCGTGCCAGCGCGCAGGGCCCTCACAGTAACCGTTGGTTTTCCCCATCGGCTACTTGCCAAACCGAGCCGTAGCCAGACCGGTACACGTTGGCCTTACAAGACATCTGAATCTTGCTCGGTGCCAAGCAAGGCTTGGGGTTCAGTCAGTCTTGCGCCACGGTGACGAGATGTTAACTACCGCGCCTGGTATGCATGAGGTTCGTGGGTTCTATTCCGACCCTGGTGCTTGTGTATTTGGAGTTTGCGTGTTTCTCTCCCCGTGGCGGCGTGAGTTTTCTCCGGGTCCTCCGGTTTTTCCCTCCACACTTAGAATCAACGTGCGTTTAGAGTCGAGTAAAACCTTGGATTGCGAGTAACTTGGTCTGTGAGTGTTTTGCAAGACGACCCAACATTTTTTATAAGTATTAATTTGATAAACGAACGAGGTCTTGTAATACGAGTAGTACGTGTAAACGCTTTGTCTGCCGAGCGTCACGTGATCACAACTGATATACGACGAGTGCTTTGATATACGAGTGCTTTGGATTACAAACACATTTCCGGAACGAATTATGCTCGCAATCCAAGGTTTTAGTGTCTTCGGCTGCTACGTATTTCCACTTGATGACAACGCCGCCATTTCGTTGAGCTGTCATTTGGTACCAGATTGCTTCTGAAAACTCAGTGGGCCTTACCTGGTCAAATTAAACCAAATAGTTGAGTTCAAATCATTTTCATCGTCCGTTACGTCAGCCGGTACACTCGAACGAGCGACGCCAACATCCACGCGATCGCGTTACGTGGCTCGGCCACGGCTTGGGTTGTGCAACGGGGACAACGATTGTCTAAATAAAGGACCGTGATCCTCCGACTGGTTGACCAACCTGTTGCACTTTTCCCGCACTTTTCCCGCACCCCATGTCTGGATTTACAGCAAACACAACAGCAGCAGCAGACAGCTGCTCTGGTTCGCCAGCTGCAGAAGCAGCTCTCAAGTGAGTCACTCGCCCGACAAACCAGCGGTCAGAAACTCATACGTGCGCGCACACACACACACACACGCATACATATGCTGCCCGCAAATAACAGCAAATATGCCTCAATGCCCGTCTGATATGTTTGCTATGAACCAGAATATAGATGCGTGTAGAAGAGAGTGCCTGTTAGGGACACAGATATGAGGGTGGGTTGAAGGTGTCCTGAGCTTTAACGGCAGTTACTTTTATTCTTGAGAAGGTGAAGGGGGAGGAGGCGGGATTGAGACGAGACAGAGAGACGGTGCAACGAGAAACGCCATGGAGATGTCACCGGCGTAGGGTAGGAGGAGTAGAGGGGAGACCGAGGGTGGGAGATGGGAGGATGCAGTGGAACGAGAGATGTTTGTATGATGAATTTCTTTTGCACCGACCGTACGTAGCCAATTAGCACGGTTGGGTACGTACGCTGCAAACGAAGTTCAACGTACATCCAACCGCGCTAATCGTAGGTGCGGGTGAAGAACAACAAACTAAAGACGCTGAGCATTTAGAAATAAATTAGTTTTTAATTTCGATTTGAAAGTGCGTAGGGTCTATTGGGCTGGCTTCCTAATATCAGAAGGAAGAGCGTTCCAGACGGCCACGGAAGTGCTTCTGAAAGCGCGCGATGCGGTGACCGTCTTTGCTCAATGGTTAGCCAAAAGCCACGGCAAGGATGGCTCCAGTGTTTGTCTGGATTACAGAGAGAGGAGACAGAATAAAACACAGTGGGCATTGTTAGCTTATGAGCAGAGAGAGAGAGATATCCATGTACAAATATATGTATTTGGCCATAGAGAAGTTTAATCGATATTTAGGTTTTTTTTACCGTCTCTTTATTGGTCATATCACACTTGCATGAAATGTTTGCATTTTTTCTGTTTTTCCTGTCATGTGATTTTGAGTTGCCATTAATGTATTTTTATGACGCCCTTTTGAACTGATTTGTCACTCACTCATCTGCTTGTCGCTGTCTTCGCGCTCCCACATTGAACAATAAGCCTTAAAATAGCGGCAGACTGACAAAGATAAATATATCTAAGAATTTTCCGATTTCAAGCTTTCGTGACTGCAGGGAATTCATATTCTTGGTTCTTTCGGTAAAGTCATGTAGAAGGGAAATAATAAAATCTTTTTTAAATAATAAAATAATGCAATCTATTACTTTCTTATTTTAAATAATTAAAAAATTGTCTTTTTTAATTATATTATTATTTCCCTTCTACGTGACTTTACCAAAAGAACCAAGAATATATCAAATAATGTACAAAAAATTATATATATGTCAATTTATTATGGTGTATGAAATTGTACACCACAGGTTTTGAATACTACATTGTTTAAACTAAATGAGCTACATTGGCCACTGTCTAGAATGTTAAATTTGCAGGATGTGGCCGGCTGGCTCAGAGATATGGGCTGCTGAGCATCGCCAGAGAACCTGTGTTCGAATCCAGGTTTCAACCACTGCCTGTGATTAAACCGGCTTCTCCAGTGTAGTGAGTTCATGATCTCAGCCCAGTCACCAATGACTGCACACACACACACACACGCGCAAAAACATTTGGTTGTGCACATAATTTAGCGAAATTCCACCTCTGCGAATCAAACATCGGGTTTGACTGTCATGTGCCCAAGCGTTACTCCCATATGCAGAGCAGGTGGGGAAAGCGCTGTGCCCCTCTTCCGCCTGGACCAGAGGTCACTTGAAAGGATCTTGGATTTAGCTCCGTGATATCCACTTCTGTGGGCGGTTCTCTTAACAGGAAGAGTTGCACTGCCTCTGTGAGAGATGCGAGTGGATTTTTCCGTCTCGTGCCACGACGCCGCCGAAAGCACCGTCGCGTGAAAACTCGGGGGAAAGGCTGGGGGGGGTGGTAGCGGAATTCTAAAAAAATTTAAGAGAAAGTTTGTTTTAAGTACCTTTTTTTCCCCATCCATTTCCACTCCCATTTCCATCGTTGTGGTTGGCATATCACTGCCCTTTTGATGTGCCGGCCAGATATTTGTGCTAAATGAAATTTGTATTTTATATATATCTATGAACAAAAAGTGTGCTGTGCACCCAGCTGAGCAGCCAAACGTTTCGAAGGGATCGTTTTATTTCCATTGCAATGCGAAGTCACTTGTTCCTGGAAACAGAATCGGTTGGATATAAATTTAATATAGCACGCAAGCATACAACTCGGGTGCAAGGCTGTGTGTGTGCGTGTTTGTCCGAAGTGTGCGTGTATCAGAAGTGTCCCTTTTGCCCCCCGCCCCCCAAACAGTTTAATAATGTAACCATGTTTTACTTATATCAGAACTGTGCTTATATAGGCTTCCTTATATCCAGCTCTGCTTGATGTTAAATGTATCGAACTGGCCAGAAAGGCCTCTGGCATTGAGTGGCTCGTAGTTGGAAAGTAAAAATCCTGGTTGGAGGGGAGTTGACTCTGCCTATCATCCCTCCTGGAGTGGATAAAATAAAATTAATACCACTTTGTGAGGAAGTCTACAGTGGTGTTGTCCTATGGGAAGACTTGACCCCGCCATAGGAATGTGGAATTACCACCACTGGCTCAGGGGGCTGTAAGCAGGAGAAAATATCTTCGGGCTTGTTATTTTTTTATGTAATAAGACGACAGAATTGTAAATAATTTGCAATTTCTACATTCGTGAAAAAAATCATCTCTTAATGGCGATGACACGCCGACATGTTTGGGTGCACCTCTGATTGTGCACTGATTGCTCTTGCTCTGTCTGTGTGTTACGCCGCCACCGCCGCCGCCACCGCCACTGGCTCTGCTGCCCCTCGTGCTGGCGACACGTGTGCAGATACACAGCAGCACCAGTACGGGCACGGACCTGGACCTGCGCCTTTTTAGCGGACAATCGTGCGACTCGGAAAACCGAAAGCGCGCAGCGAAAAAAGAAAGCCGGCCCGCTAAACGGGGGGGGGGGAGGACGAAAAGAAGGCCGCTTAATATTAGCGGCTCCTCTGCTCAAAAAAGAAGAAGAGTGAAAAAGGACGGAGGGAAAAAGCGATGGAGAAATCAGGGCTGGCAAACAGAATCTCCCCCCTCTGCTTGCCTTTTCAGGGGGGCCTGCTCTGGCCTCTCTGGCTGCTGTTTTGATTTGAAAACTGTTCTTGGGTTTCAGCGACGATTTTATTTCACAGCGACGGGGTTGGGGAGCCAGGGGGTTGTTGTTGTTGGTGGTGATGGTGGCGGCGGCGGCGGCCGGGGGAGGTGGTGGAAGATTTAATTTAGTTTAACTTGATTAAAAACAACACAACGATGGTGGGGGAGCGTAGCCTTGCCTGATGAGACGTAGTCTTAAAAAGAAAAGACTAAAGGCCTCCCAACTCCCCCCTCCGCCCGCCGCCTCCTTGACCCCCCTGCTCTCCGTTGCACTCATACTTGACGACGCGTATGCTTTATGCAACTGTGAGTAAAAACAAATAATGATTGAAGGGTCAAACTTGCATCCTTTTTGTAAAGCTTTATCAATGCAGAAAGATGCGATGCACCCTGTCCCCCACCGCCCCCCCCCCCAATCTTGGGGGGGGCGGTGGGGGGAGGGCACCACGTAAGGTAAGTATTTGCCTTGAAGCCGTACAAAGTCTGTAACAGTTATCTATGAGAAAACACGCGCGCGCGCACACACACGTACACAAATCTTTAAGTAGAGTAAGAAAATATATATAACAATGGTGCATTGTTACAAGTTGTAAAACGATATTTAAGGTTCCCATTGTGAGTTAACGTTTTAATGTGAATAACCCAGATCGTTTTTAAAGACTTTCCACAGAAGAGAGATGTTGTGAGTCATAGCGCATTGTACTACTACAGGGACTCCTCCACTTACGAACACTCGAACTTTCGGAGATACTAACAAACCCGTCCATATTTCATGTAAATGCCACATGAAGAACCAGTGGCATCGACATCTGCAGAACATGAAAAACCAGTGGCATCTACATCTACAGGAGATTGTGTACAACTTTTAAAGCCATTCCCCATGTTTGCAAATCGACGGGAGTAAAGTTGGACTTACGAACAAAATCGACTTACGAACAGACCTCTGGAAATCTAACTCGTTCGTAAGTAGAGGAGTCGCTGTACTGCAAACTTGAATAATTGTTGCTCGCGTCACTCCTCCCAACCTTACCCCACCACCCTTTAGCCCTTCCCCCCCCCCCCCCACCCTGAGCAGAGAAGAAACTCTTGAAAGTGCTTTGTATAGAAGTGTATGTGCGTATTGCCTACTTGTGATGGATTGACTCTAGGTGCACACTTGCCCCCCCCCCCCACTCCGTGTCGTGTGCGTCGCCGGTCTGGGTGAGCGATTCGGGCAGAGGTCCCCTAAACGTTTGACCAAAGTGGCAGCAACGCGGGCCAAAAGGGGCTGTAATGCCACCACCCATTATTACTCTTCGGAGGAAGATTTAAAAACTTCAAAAAACACACACAAATCTGTATAATGATGTTATTCTGTTATAGGAAGAGTCCTAGCCGATGTATTCATAGAACCGACGCTCTTTTCCCATTGTAATAAACGCGTTGCGTGTAACAAACCTCCCACTGTCACATTTGTCGCTCTGTCTGTGTCGAGCTTTTGATAACGCGTGGAACGGTTTTTGCTTGACCGGCCAGTCTTTAGTTCATCTTCTTGGTTCTTTCGGGTAAAGTCACGTAGAAGGGAAATAATAAAATAATTCTCACGACGTTTCGGCCACAACGCAAGCAGCCTGTCCTCAGGTGAAGAACAGGTCTATCGGGAAGACAGCGTCTGAATGAAACACCCCAGGCTTGGAGCGTATATTTAAGCTGGGTTGGAGGGGCGAAGAGCGCCTTGACAAATAATTTGCATATCAAGAGGAATTTAGCATATTTATGGGAAATTCAGATATGGGATTAGTACTACTTGTGAAATGCGTAGGAGCTGGGCGGGGGGTTTCAAAGTCATATTAAACGTCGTGAGAATGATTTATTATGTTTATTTTATTATTTATTATGTTTTATTTATTATTTCCCTTCTACGTGACTTTACTGAAAGAACCAAGAAGATGGATCCCTGCAGTCACGACAACTTTAAATCGAAATTCAGTCTTTTGTTGTGACCCACAATGGGGGTTTTACGACATTAGTTGTTTTGTCACTTTAACGCGGAGTGATTGGTAGAGCCTTCGCGACCAATATCCATAAGAGGTGTTTTTGTGGGGGTTAGATCGCGTAAATAACTGTGTCGTTAAGCCTGCCACCACCCGACACAGCCAATTAGTCTTCTTGGTTCTTTCGGTAAAGTCACGTAGAAGGGAAGTAATAAAATAATTCCCACGACGTTTTGGCCACAACGCAAGCAGCCGTACTCAGGTGACGGCTGCTTGCGTTGTGGCCGAAACGTCGTGAGACTTGTTTTATTATTATTTTTTTATTACTTCCCTTCTACGTGACTTTACCGAAAGAACCAAGAAGATGAATCCCTGCAGTCACGAAAGCTTTAAATCGAAATTTACAGCCAATTAGGTTTGTCACGTAAATGAAACGTGCCAATTCGTTACTAGTACAGCACTAACCGGTGCGTTGGAGTAAACCCACAACATTTACAATTGTAAATGTTGCATGACAAACCGTGATAATTGGCTGTCGGGTGGTGGCGGGTTTAACGACACATTTATATTTACGCGATCTCACCCAAAAACCTCTCATGGATTCATTGTTTTGGTGAGGCACAGGCCGGCCAGTGACACTTTGAGGCCACCCTGAAAGTGTTTCAGTTCTAAATTTCGATTTAAAGCTTTGGTGACTGCAGGGATTCATATTATTGGATCTTTCGGGAGGAGCAGAGCGCATTGACAAATGTAAACTTCTTTGTCAAGGCGCTCTGCTCCTCCCACCTAGCTTAAAAATACGCTGCCAAGCTTAGCAGTGTTCATTAGGACGCTGTCTTTCCGACAGCTCTGTTCTTCACCTGAGGACGGCTGCTTGCGTTGTGGCCGAAACGTCGTGAGAATTTTATTGTTTTATTTTTATTTTATTATTTCCCTTCTACGTGACTTTACCGAAAGATCCAAGAATATGTTGCAGTTATCTTTCTGATCTGGTTACAACCCGGTCGGGGGGTTACTCGGTCAATGGCCAGGGTCAACGGCGGCGTGGTGT